GTTAAACACAGGAATTCATGCTTTGTTGGGTCTGTCAGCAAGTCAGCAGGACAACAGCTTCTAAAATGTTTGTTTTCTGAATGGAGTTCAGATCGATCAGGGCTATGCTATGCTAACTTGGTCACAGTAAAGTACAACGATAGCTGGAATAAAGTTACATACACATGTTTTCTGAACTCATCAGGTAGTTCAACCTCCTCGCTCTCTTTTCTCCCAGCAATGTCCAGTTTTGTCCGGTTTTTATATAAATATGAAGTAGTAGTCAAACAGAGCTCTGCGTGCCAAACAACACTGGAACCTGATGTGCACGGAAGCTAGCTACTGAGAAGCTCGATTGAAGATAAATCAACGTTGTAATCCCAAAAACTAAAGTAAAAAGCTAATTTAATAAAAGCAGTTTACTCTGAGCTCCTCCCGCAAGCAAATGGCGTAGTTGTCAGAGCATAATCCAGTCCGACTATGGATTTTTATTTATCAAAAAGCTGGAGCGCTGCTCTCTGCTCCTCTCCCCCAAGTTTAGCAGCTCTGCGCCGGCCAGCACATTTTCAATCTCTCGCTCTGTCTGGCCCCTCTCCACACAACGCTCTGAAGCCGGCGGTGACGTACGGTCAATCTCAACGCTGATAGGCTATTGCGACTCAGCGTCATGCGACTTTCTGGCTTTAGTTGAAAATATTCAATTCACGCAAATTCCTTCGTGTTGCCTTCGCTTCGCCTTCGCGCCGCTTCGCACCACCTGACAGGAAATCATCTTTGCATTGACTTTGTATGTAAACTAACCGCCCCGAATGCTTGCTTCACTTTTGGTCTGAAAGCACCATTAGGGTTAAACAGACTGTTAATGTTGCTAATTTTCACAATTTCTGTAGTAATTATATATTTGTGCTGCATCTCTACTGCTGTCAACATCCTGAGTACCATCTGATCTACCTGGTTACAAAAATTACATTACACTCGACCATTGAGAGAGAGTTTAGACCAGAAGCTGTCTAAACTAGCAGGGAACTAGTCCCAGATCTCTGACTGGGCAGCTCACTCACACAAGTCAATGTCTTGTAGTCTATTCGGCAATCCTTAATGTTATAGCTCTACCTCTAAATATGAAAATTGGGCCACAGGTATATGCTAATTTGAGAGTCCATGGGCTCAAGTAGGTCAACCTGTTAATCATAGTCAGTCAGTAGTATAAGCTAGCTGTACTCGTCCAATTTAAAGCCTTAACTATGCAGCGTATTGATATTGGTCTGAAACAAAATCATAAGCATTAATTTCATGAACATTTTAAGGCATGTTCTCTTAAAAAGCACACTTCCTATTGTATGCCAAATGCTTTCATGGGTCAGTCAGTCATGCTGAGGCCATTCTCTGCACCATCTGCTGTAATACTCCTGCAGCATTACACGGCCATAGTCAATCCCCAGTGGTAAAAAATATTTCTCTAAGGCAGCTGCTAGAATTGTGATATGCCACCCCCTCTCATCTGTTTGCACAACCCTAGCTCTGAGCATTGTAAAGCTTAAAGTGTATTTGCAACTGTGCTGTAGAGGAACACACACATGTTTCATGATTAATGTTATTGTCCATTGAAGTTTGAGTGTTTTAGTTTATCCATTGTACCTACATTACAAGTGTGCATGGTGGAATGACCAGGGTATTAATAGATTCACACAACCTGCCAGCACCCCCCTGCCTGCAGCCAACAACAAATACGCAAGTGTGCACACACACACACACACACACACACACACACACACACACACACACACTTCATATTTGTATCAAGCTGTGCCTGAGTCATAAGAAATGCCAGGTGACAGGTCTGTGTGTTACAGCAATGTGACGCATGGCCAGCTCTAAATGGAAACTCCTGCAATGTACCTTATGTGTTTGATACCCTGCTGTTTTTCAGTGTGTACAAGGTTTATTGAAGCGTTCTGTAATGTAGCATTTTGTTGGATCACTCAAAATCATTTGAGTGTTAAATAGTCCAACTCACCCCATAGTCCACAATGTCTTGTTTAATTGTAGTCATATGTAAGACTCAAATAATTTTAAACACACTATGGAAAGGAAAAGTAAACCTGAGTGGTTCTTTCAGTCGAAGCTTTTAAAACACTGCACTTGATTGCCCTGAGTTGTTTTCAACATAGAGAGAAAAGAGAGTAAGATGTAAGTGTTGAAAAGAAGCATTTCAACATACACATAGAGAGAAATGTGATCACACATAGAAAGAGAGGTGATTATCTGCTTTTGAGTCATAAATACACTCAAACTAGAAGATTAGAAAATGGCGTATTCTTATGTGCATGTGTTCTCGCACAGATTTCACTCGGTAAAAAAGAAATTGGTAGACTATTAAGTTACGTTACAAGTCGCGTTGGATATTTCATGCGCAGGCCAGGTATAGAAACACACAGGGTGCAGATGGGGTGGAAATATACGGAAAAAAGACAAGTTCTCAGTCTTTTAGGCGACTTTATAAAACATACAAATTGGAGCAGTAGGGGGGAGAGGGACAGAGAAAGGCGGGGCAACCTGGGGTGTTTACCTGATGAGTGTGTGAGTGTGTCAGTGTGGGGAGAAGATCATGATGCCGGCTCAATGTTGTGATGTCTGTCAGCCATCACCAATGGACGATGGCCTTGTCTATCGGCCCAACCATATTTCATACTACACTTACATGTCATCTCGCTCTCTCTCTCCCCCTGTCTCCATCTCTCTCTCTCTCTTTCTGTCTCTCTCTCTCTCTCTCTCGCAACATTCCCACTCTCCTTTCTCCTCCAGCTGCTACATCGTCCTGAAAATCTAATCTGTAAACTGCTCACATCACCAGGTGTTCTGTGCCGAAGATTAGTATTGATTGATGGCCCCAGTCAGAACTCTTGGCCTGAATCATGAATTAGCGCTCATAACTTGTCATCAGGCCGGTCTGATTGGGAGGAAAAAAACTTTTTAAGGTGGAAGCTTACCCTTGTGCCCGTTATGGTTGTTTTTTTGTTTTGTTCTGAAACACACCACAATTTGCTCGGTTATCTGAGATTGTTAACGGGAATACCAGAACCGCGTGTGTGTGTGTGTGTGTGTGTGTGTGTGTGTGTGTGTGTGTGTGTGTGTGTGTGTGTGTGTGTATACAGCACATCCATACTGTAGGTGTACTTTCTGTTACACTGACTGTCTTTTAAGAGGCAGAATATAGTCACGTGAGCCATAATGTGAAGTTATGACGTGAACACTGATCTTCCAGTCCGCAGAATGAGCAGAGCAGAGAGGCTGCAGTACTGGAGTTGATGACAACTAAACTTGTTAGTGAGTGTGTGTAATTAAACCACCTTGAGTAAAAAGCCAATACTTTATCAATACACCTGTTGAACAAGTGTAAATACGTAGAAAGTGATATTTCAATCTGCCTCTGTCCACAGTCTCTCATTTTCTATGTTTTACACAAGCACAGCGCACTAGCTCGGCTAATAGCGAATTGTTACAAACAAGCTAAAATGAAAGCTGTCTGTTTGTAGTCTAGCTGTTTATCTTAGTTTGCCATGTATATTAACATTAGGCAAATTCTTGTGAACTACGCTGTTGGCTGAGACAAACCAGCCGCTCCCCTCTCTACCAGCAGTACCTGCAGGCAGTGATTCATATCAGTAGCAGAGGTAGAGTTGTAAACTTCACTCAGTATTTTGATGTCAGTAATCATATTTATTTAATTGACATTTTAGGTTTGTTTCCAGTGAGATATTACAGAGTTTATGTAGTGGATTTGCTCTTTTAAACTTTGCTATTGCTAGAAACAACATAGTTATTTTTAAAGTATTACATTCTAATTCGGAAAAAAATGATAAGAGTATTGACAAAGAACCAAACGGATAAGGATTATCAAGAAGAGTGGGACTAGAGTTGATAAAATCCTAACAATACCCATCCGTACAGGTTTATGATAATTTATCACTCACAGATAATGAGTCCATTAGGGGAGAAGGAGGGGGGATTGTCATACCATTTTATATGCAAGAATGTTTGTTGCTTTGCATCTATGACACAATGTGTCTTGTTCTGATTTAATTACTTTATTATTTATAAAGATTAAACATGACAATTAACTTTAGTCCTGTTGATTTGATAACCACTGAGAAATAAAACAATTAGTATAGGGGCATGTAGGGTTGGGCTGATAGCCGTCCGTTGTCGATGGCTGACAGACATCACGACGTTGAGCCGGCATCGTGATTGTAAAACCCCCGCCCCCACAGCAAAAAAAAAATCTCAAATGTTCACATTATATCACCCTGTGAAAGCAGGTTTTAATGACCACAAACATTCTTGTCATTGTTTTTAAGTATGCTTTGCACCTGTCTTGGAATTCTCTTCTCCCCACACTCTGACACACTCACACACACCTCAGGTAAACACCCCAGCTTGCCCCGCCTCTCTCTGTCTCTCTCCCCCCGTCTGCTCCATTTTCCCCATCAGCAGTATGTTTTATAAAGTCGCCTAAAAGACTGAGAACTCGTCTTTTTCCGTATATTTCCACCCCCGATCCGTTATCACGGCAGCAGGTGAGCTGCACTCCGGCTTATTATGACGTAGCCTATCAAACAACTGAAACCAACATCTGCACCCTGTGTGTTCACTGTTGCTTTACCTGGTCTTTGCGTAAAGTATCCACCACGACTTGTAACGTAAGTTAATAGTCTACCGATTTTTTTTTACCGAGTGAAGTCTGTGCGAGAACACATGCACATGATGACTGACGCATGCGCACTTGATGACTTCGTCCATCCCGATGTTTCATTGTAGACATTGTCCGATGGAAATTTTGTAGACATCGCCCAACCCTAGGGTCATGTAGATTTCTGACCCACGTACCCCACCGGGCAAAAACATTAACGTTGAACCCTGCCTTGACTTTTCAATTTCTAATCTCTAGCATTTCTACTGGACATGTGATTTCACTTTCATCACTGATCTCCCTATCTCTCTCTGTTTTTTTTCCTTCCCAGATAAATGAGTTAAGCCATGTTCAGATTCCCATCATGCTCATGCCAGATGACTTCAAGGCCTATTCTAAGATCAAAGTGGACAACCACCTCTTCAATAAGTAAGGTGTTTTTAAGTATATTATGTCGTTGTTTTTAATTCACAAAGTTATTTTATAATTCTGTGAAATGTTCTTTATGACGTACTGCAGCTTATAAACTGTCACTTGTCCTTTCTGATATTTGCAAACACACAGGGAGAACATGCCTAGCCATTTCAAGTTCAAGGAGTACTGCCCTCTGGTGTTTCGAAACCTCAGAGAGAGGTTTGGCATCGATGATCAGGACTTCTTGGTAAGAAAAGGCTAGCAAAATTACTTCCACTTCTGGAACATAAACCTGTTTCTATTTAGTACTGGATTAGTCTGACTGGCCACATAAGGGGGTGCCAGCAACTACAGAATTTGGGTCAATTTACAGGCAATATATTATCCTTAAATGTATTTGAATCTTGTGTATTTTATAAAAGTAATCACTTGGTGCTACAAGCATACTGAAAGAAATTTGATCACAGTCTTAACTAGTAAACTGTCACTTTATTACACTTTTCCTTTCCCTCTTTTGTTTCACCCCACTCCATGTCTTTCTTTATTTTTCACAAATCCCCATCCCCAGTGCAGGCAATGAGTTGGCAGTATTTGGAGGTCATTATGTCCCAGCTCAGTGCAGCTGTCTTTCTCACATATTTACATTAGGGTTCGGGTGGCTGCAGTGAGTGGGCAGTTGGGGGTGTTAAGACACTGGCCAGTGCAAAGGAATGTTGTGGCATTCTCAAAATTAAACTACTTTCCTACATGAGGCACCAAATTGTGGTGCTCTATAACCAGCCTGTTGGAATTATTTTTAATTACATAGGTCATATTCCTCATTATAGCCAATGGATGCCACCAGCTTCAGGCCTGCTCTTTTGATGAGCAGCAGTAACCATTTGTTTTAATGAGCAAAGCTAGCATTATTAAATTAAGTTTTGGGAGGGTAACTGAAGCGCAAAGAGATTAACCTTTTTTCCTCACATTATGGTGAATACATGGGGGAGAAAATGGTTAACTAAAACAAAAACATTAGGATATTACTTCGAAAGCTTTTCATCTATGCCAGCCTCAGGCAAAGGGCCTCTTAAACATTTTCAGCCTGTGACACAAACCACTTCCACGTTACACCCCAAAGTGTCCATGCTTTTTAGTAACCTCCAGAACAAGACCAATTTTAGGTCTAAACACAGGAGACAGAAATGCTGCTTAAAAGTTGTATCAGGTTACAAAGGTTAGTCCTCACTTTGCTGTACAAGCAAGAGATGCTATGACTTGAAGAGGGGAGATTGAACTGAGGGCAGAGGACATGAGGAATTCTTGGAGAATGAGGCATTAAGCCAGGGATGTTTGATCATGTTACTTTTGAGCTCTAAAGTCTGGGCAGCAGCTGTGTGTGTCTGCATGTAGCTTTGGACAGGCAGCAGGCGTAGGGGTCAGAACCCCACATGTTTAGACTGGAGTGTGGGAGGTGGTCAGACAACAAGAACGTAGATGCAAGACATGTTGTATTGTGGGATCGGTTCACATACACTAGAGGAGAAGCTATAGTTTCACTACCAGTTATTTAATCACAAGATGTCATAAGTGGTTCTAACTCATAGTTAAATAAGCACTGTAACACTGTATTTAGTGAGACAGGCCATTTAAAAAAAGCTAAATACAAGTAAGAACACTATCCTGGCTCTCTGAAGGCAGTGCAAAGAATGCACATGCAAGGGTTGTCAAGATGACAAGCTGATCATATCCGGTGTGTTGCATCCTGATCAACATGATTGTGATTTTTTTGTTTCCGTCTTTGCTCTGTGTGTTTGCAGAACTCTCTGACACGCAGTGCTCCCATGAACAGTGAGGCCCAGGGACGGAGCGGGGCCCGCTTCCATACCTCTTACGACAAACGCTACGTAGTCAAGACCATCAGCAGCGAGGATGTGGCTGAGATGCATAACATTCTAAAGAAATACCATCAGGTGATAACTGACCTATCTTACTACAACCCTTTCCTGAAACAAACACTAATCTCACAAGGGGACCGCAGGACTTCAGAGATACTGTTGAGAGACACAGGCCTACATCATGCACTGTGGCATAGTAACAACATTTATGATGCAATTTTAGCTGTTGCTCTACCTATTGATCTTAAATTGGTCAAAAAAAGTGTCAGGGTACTGAATCTTATGATTTCCCAGCACAGCTGTTGCAGTCCTCAGATCAGAGTGACACTGAGTCATAAAGGGATCATGCTGTGTTTTATGAACCTTTCTTTTTCTGTTTCTTACAGTCTCCCCTCTAACGCAGACACTAAGCATGCATTGTGACTATAAAAGGGTCGTGAATTGATATTCCTCTCTCTTTTGGTAGTTCATCGTGGAGTGCCATGGCAACACGCTGCTGCCTCAGTTTCTGGGGATTTACCGACTCACCGTGGATGGAGATGAGACCTACATGATTGTTACACGCAATGTCTTCTCTCACCGCCTTTCCGTCTACAAAAAATATGATCTGAAGGTAGGTGATCAGCATGAATACTAGAAGGCGTTATGTAAATCTGATCTATAGTTGAACTGCAATCCCTTGTTGCTACTCATTTTTCACAGATCATATGAGCGTTTGGTGCAAAAATAAAAAGAATGTAAATTCGATAGTTTTTGTGGATTTCTTTCCCCCGAAGACAAGTCTGTTTGTAGTTCAAATATTTTATGAAGCTTGTGTTTAACACAACAGCCATTTCTATAGGGTAATAAGTGATCTAAAACAGGGTTAAGAGCTTCAGGTAACCAGTCTCAGAGCACAAAGTTTTAAGTCGTTTTAAACCATTGGGTGAGCTTCTGTGTTCAGACATGCACAAGGGTTATGAGTATCGGCAGGAATGAGTGGAAGTAGGGTGGTGAGGGAAAGGCAAAAGCAAGACTTTCCAGTGCTTCCAGTAACAAGATGGAGACTAATTTCCTTTTCTTTTGTCTCTAGGGTTCCACTGTGGCAAGAGAGGCTAGTGACAAGGAGAAGGTACAGTCACCTGTCGTGAGCCAGGATCCACTGTAAAACATACCCACAAAGGTTTAGACATTGGCACAGGCAGGATCTCTTAGCCTTTTAACTTTAACCGCTTTAAAGAGTAACAATAATCTATACTCAGAGTGCTACAATTTAAAAGCAAAGTACAAATGTATCAAAACAACATGAATATACAAACCCATCAAAAGAAACACAACAGTTAACACCGCCAGCATGTTTTTAAAGCGCTTACAAGTGTATCGATCCACACGGACACCACATTGTTGCATGCATATACCATTTTTTTATGATCCAAGCGCTCCCTTTTTATATGTTGTGGTGGAAATAAAACTTATTAATCAGTGAACATAAATAATGCCCATTTTCTTCATGTATTACTTTTCACGTAGCTCACTCGGAGTCAGTGTGGATTGAACAGATGGACACTTCCATAGCACTCGCGCACCGCTGATGTCGCAATTCTGGTTCAGTTTTCATGTGAGGAACAAGGGAAATTAAAAAGTATTGAGAAACTTTTTTTACAAACACATGAAACCTAGAATTGTTTCTCTTTGAAGTAATTTAAACAGTGATGTCATGTACTGAAAATGAGTCAGTTATTCTGATTGAACTCCATGTCCATTAAAAGCCATGTGGACAGTTAGAGAATGACAGGGAGAACAAACTGTTTGCAGCGGTTTCAATAACTGACACAGCTTCAAATAATTCCAGCCTTACTGTCATCACCCAAATGGCCCAACGATCACAACTGTGGTGTCGGCTTTTGTTTCCCTTTGGGAGGGGATGACAGTAGCAAATATCCATCTCCTTCAGTTAGCACCTACTCCATCACCCCATTCCCCTTCTATCCCCTGCACGCTATTTGTGTCTATTTAATTTGCTTTATCCCCTCTAACCTCTCTTCTGCTGTTCCATCAGTTCCCTTGCTTGCTGTCTGTGTGTGAAAGATTGAGGGGTGTGTGCGTGCGTGCGTGTGTGTGTGTGTGTGTGTGTGTGCGTGCGTGTGTGTGTCTCTGTGTGTGTCGGGTTTAGAGTTTTATTCAATCATACGTCTCATGAGTAATTCTGTGTATGTGTTTTCAATGTAGCTGTGTATCTGACTGGGCTGTGTGTGTGTGTGTGTGTGTGTGTGTGTATGAGCAGTATATGTGAGCAAGAGATTTAGTGTGATTGATAGTGATTGAAGCTTTGCTGTTTGTGTGAGACTGGCTAATTTGAGTTTTTGGGGCTTGGCTGCTTGGACAGAGTCACCTGTCAAAAATGAATTGTATCACTGAAATTGCGAAGGACCTGATGTGTCACTGCTTCCAGTTAAAATTGTTTTAGTTTAACTATTAGAATGGATATAAGATAGCTATATATAAGCAACATATATATTCACAAATAAAAGGCTTTGACCTTTTGAGTGATGGAAGTTTCTGATATCGTCCTAGGGCACTGTAACTTTGGAGAGCTGTTCAGCAATATTGGAAGGGGATGGTTGTCCCAAGGGATTTTTTTCACATGTCTCAACATGTCGCTCTACAAAGGTCTGTCTGACAAATGAAAAGAGTTTTGATATGAGAGCGTCACAGTTTTGACCCAGAAGGGTTTGAACTTTCCACCAGGGTTTTACAGAGGCTTAATCGTGAGGCACCATGCAGTGAGGCATGGAGGACCTCAGGGAATCCCCAAACTAAATATAGCCTCCTGTAAATGGAAGAAGAAACAAAACGTTATTGGGGTTTAAACAGATGAGTGGAAAAACAAAGCAGCTGAGGATTTGACACAGCCTACTGTGTGACCTCTTTTTGTCTGCAGCTCAGCTGTGTGTGTGAAACACCATCTACAGTCTAGCGACAGAGATTAAGAAGCAATAGGATCCATTTTTGCGAAGCTGACATGAATGAAGATGTTGTCTACCACTGACTCTTAACTCACACATGATTACAAGTTGATGCTGTTAGTCTGTCGGTAATCCTGTGGTTGTCTTACCTTTCAGTGAAAAATACAGTAAACATTATACATATATATTGTCGCCATAGCCATTCACTGCAAAATACAGTACACGATCGATCACACATACTTTCAAATGTCAACACTTGTTAACTACTTAAAACAGGACGCAACTAAAGCTCAGACATTGAAGACAAGGATCTGACAAGAGACATGCTTAAATTAACCTGCCTTTAGTGCTCGTGCTTTGATTAATATGTTTACTTCAAATAATTCTTCTGTATTTGAAGTCCAGTATGTTAACACTATAAACTTAACACTAGTTCACACTAGTGTGAACTCTCACACACACTGCAGTTAGTCAGTAAAATGAAGAAGAGGGTGCATCATTCCAAACGAAAGCGGAAAATCATGTGTTTCTGTTCAGAAGGTACAGTGTGTGGGTGCCAACCTATATTGCTTCACACACACACAAACAACAAGCATGGCAGGGTTCTCTCCTGATTGCATGACCGCCTCCCTTTCATGCATGCGTCTGCATGTTTTATAAAATTGTTTTTCTGCATCTTTTTTGAAGTTACGTTACTTCTAACACATTACAATGTGTATGAACACAAGCCCCATTCTGTTGCACATTGTGGACATGTTCTGTTCTACCCACATATGACATGTGTTTTTCTTTTCATAAAATACATTTTGCGGTTCTTGTAGCTGCTGTCTCAGGGTGTTGGCTATCAAACAGCAGCAATTGGCTTTCTGACACATTTATGTACAACATTTTACCAAGCAGATGTTCAGTGAGTTTACTGTTTTTTTTATTCTAGACTAGTGTCCAAATTAGGTACATTTGGTCTTACTAATGCCCATCAAATCATACAGGTTATTTGTGGGTAAGCTCAATAAACCAGTTACCACCCATTTAGGACACTGTCCCACAATTTAGCAAACACCAGTGGAGGGGATTCCTGCGATCACAGCATTTGTTATGTGACATGGAAAATATAGAGGTTGTGTTTGTATGTTATTAGATCGCTACTGATCCTTGGTTTGTGGAATACCACCTGTCTCGCTTAGGTCTCTGCTAAGTAGCCATCTGCTACAGTTGTTTGTTGTTTTTTTTTAAGCTCCTCTCTCTCCTCACACCAGCACTGGCCAGCATGGCTATAATGTGTCAGTATGACTGAGTGTGAACCTGCCTTGATGTTTTGTCAGTAGCCCCTTATCCAGTCATTGTAAGTCCTTATAAATAGTACCACACCTGAATAGATGTTTGGCAGAATACAGGTTCATAGAAAACCATTTAGTTTACAGTTGTGTCCTTGCTCTTCTTGGTTCCAGCTCCTGGCCTCCTTTAGAGTAGTGCTGCCAGGCTGCTTCCTTTCTTCACCAGGCATCAAAGTGTAGGCAGACCACAGTCATGCATGCATACATATATACATGTATACATAATATACCTCCTGAAGATTTAACACTTAGAAATAATTATTAGGGACAGTCTTAAATCCAATTGATTAATGACACTAATAGCATGGAAATAACTGCAAAAATAATTACACTTCAAAGACATCTAAGAATTATAAAACTATAAACTGGTCGTATGGACCTTTTGCGTTGATGCCCTTTCCAACCCTCTACCAATTTCAATAAAACAATTGTGTTCTGTAACATTTTAAACACTTTGCCTTTACTTCCAACTTCCTTCCTCCCTTCCTCTCTCCTTTCTTCTCTCCTCTCCTCCACCCCTACCGTCCCTCCCTCGCTCCCCCTTTTCTAGCAGCCGCCCCCACCAGAGGATGTGCCCCCGCGGCCCAAATCTGGTAATGTTCAGCAAAGGCTGCAAACACTGCGGATTGCCACGCGCTTTTACTGCGCCATGAAACACGTAAGAGATGTAAGAGAACCAGGGCTCATATACCAGGCATGATCTATTAAACCAATCTTATTTTAGTTTTTTTTTTTTTTTGTACGGCCGAGAATTTTCGTTTCCTCGTCTTCTCCAAGCTGATACACTGTTATTTAAAGGCCATATTTTGCACCCTTTCCATCCATTTACAGTCACCTTTTGCTCAACTTGTCAGCAACGTCAGCTTTGCCAGACAGTTTGTTTTTGTTCCCACCATTCACTCAACGGCACCAACATGTATCTGAAACACTGGAGAGCAAGAAGTGGAAGAGTATGGTGGTGGCATGAATGGGAAGGACACACTGCGTGGTCCAAAAAATCAGGAACCAGAGATCGTAGGGGAAGTACATACTTGTTACATTGCTGGAAAGATGATTTATTTATTTCAGTTTGTTGATATTTTTATTCCAAAGTATCGACTGAATCTAATCAAATTAGCAAGCGACATTATCCGACCTGTGTACGCTAACCACAGCATGGTGTTAAAAACAGAGTACACATTTTGACTTGTCTTCTAAACCTGTGATGAGGAGAAACTGCTTTTTAAACCACATCCAAACATCCAAATCCACAGCCTTCTCAGATAATAAGTGTTTTATGAGCAGTCAGTAATGTTGGCATATTGAATGAGTATGGCAATTACCTGTGTCTCAGTGCTTTGTTTGTTTTTAGTTTTGGGGGGACATTGCCTCTTTGTTTCCAAAAAAATAGTCCAGCATTTGACAGCCAAAATGTTTTTTTACATGCTGTGTTTTTATAGAGGCAGCACAAGTTTAGTCATTAAAGGGAACATTTGACAAAACCATTTAGTTGCAAACTATTTGAAGCACATTTTTTTATGCACAGCTTATATACTCCAGAGCTGCACAGTTAATTATGCTTATGTGATATACACATCTTATACGGTGTTAGATAAACACATGAAGTGCTTGGTTCATGTAGCCTTGCATGTAGTCAGTATGAATCTGCTGTTTTGCTTGTTACAGTCAGAGCTCATAATTTACAAACTGCATATCACTCATTAATCTACACCTGAGATCATCAGTAGGAATATAAGCGGGTAAAGAGGGTAGCATACCACACATCCTACACAAAGGCATAGCTTTATCCCTCGGAGACAGAAATACATTATTGTTGTCAAAGGTGAAGATTCATTTTCCAATTAGCTGACGGGAGACTGAAAAAAATTAGATTAATTTTATGAGGTTGGGGAGAAATTTACCTATCACACAGCTTTAAAAGGCTCATCGACAACCCACCCTTTCTTGCTGCCTCTAATGTATCTTTCTGTTTTTCTACTAACAACCTCAACGTAGTGCCAAGAGTCACATTTCATTGCTGCCGGTGTAACAGAGAAAATCAGTAGCAGACCAGCTGAAGACCAGAATCCTATGCATGGGAGAAACCAGAAGATCTAATGAACCGGTTAGAAAGAGTGAGGATGTATGGCGTGGAAATAAAAGGCAGTTGAAAATGAAAGCATAGAAAGATGGATGAATGCAAGAGCTGAGGTGTCTGTTTAGCTGACAGGCCTGCAAAGTCTTACAGGTTATGTTCACTCTGCAGTCAGCCTTATGTTGTGTCCTCATTTACTTTTTATGTGACATCTCTCTATTCAGTCTAGCAAGTACATCACATATTTATTGCAAATTGGAGGTCTATGTCTGTATATATATGTGCTCAAATGTCCTATTTTGTGATGTGTATTCCTGTCTTTATCTGTGTGAAGGTGTAATCTGTATGTGTGTGTGTGTCCGTGTGTGCTGTCCCAGGCTCATTCTAGTGCTACAAAGTGCTGTTGTGTTGCTGCTCTTCTCCTGCTGCCATAGAAACACTTTAGTAGTTAAACTGCTGCTGCTGCTGCCCTGTTACCACATTTCCTGCTCTCTTTTTCCTCAGTGACTCAGAACTAGGCCCCCGTCCCAACTCATATTACACCTCCTCCCCCTACAGGCTGCTGGCAGTTCTGCAGCAAAATTAACCCAAGTAGATAGAGACACCTAAATATGAAACTCCCTTCATTCTGCTCGTAGGATGAATAGTGGGACTCACAAAGATACAGTATGCAGGCTATAGGTTTATATGGAAAAAACTTTGTTACATGCAAACTACAATCTGGTTTCCGATAAACATCTTACAACAACAATGTTTGTATAATTGTCTCAGGGAAGGATATACTCTGTCATCAAACTAATAAGAAGGGGATGCTTTTCGGAGACCAGCCCAGTGCCCCAAAGGACGTTTCATAGCTTTGAGTTGAAAGTCTTTTTTTTATTATTATTTATTTATTTCATGACACAAAGTGTATGGATCTACCAGATGCATTTGAAAAGCCGTCCAGTGTGCCACAAAAAAATACTGACTGTCCTGTGTTTCGTGGTCCTGAGAAGGAAATCCATTTCACTGTAAACTATATGGAATATAAGCGAATTGGTGCATCAGATGGATCTGTGCCCTGCTGTGAGCATGCTGCATGTACTGTATTTACACGGTTAAATCTTTTAGCTTGAAAGGAGGTCAGCCTTGGTTTGGACAAGCCTGTGTACTCTGTTTGCCAACTCATTTAATCAGAAATATATATATATTGTATTTCGCTGAATCAGCAAGCTTATCTGACAAACCACAGGCTCACAGGCTCATCTGTGTCAACGGGGTATTTCAACATGCTGGATTGTCTTGTCGAGCGTTTAAACGCGCAGTTGACATGACTCATTTGTAAGATTACAGTGAATTTCTGTCATGCATTTTGAAACTTCCCTTAATTCTTATAGTTGAACAGGACAGATATATGCTATCTTTCAGTCCCGTGCACAGTTTATGAAAATGTTAATGTTTTTAAGTGTTCTGGGGAAAAAGGATGAAGAACACTGATGCTGGTGTTACTGCTTTTAGTAAAATAATTATATATATTAAAATAACTTTCTGTTAAATATCTCAAACAATATTGAAATACAATTATTGATTCTAACTTTGTGCAATTGGATGAATTAGTATTTATGGACACTTGTTGTTGTCTTCTTGACGTGAGCACCAGAATTCTGTCACGTTTTTGCCCAGGTCTGCCGCCTACAGTACCATGCATCATGCAGGTTTGAACCGTGTACTGTTGTGGTTTTGACTGTCATTTATTTGGTCGCTAATCTCTGATACTAATGGGCAGGCCAAGGAGCTGCCCACCTACAAGGACAATGACTTCATCAATGATGGGCAGAAGATCTACATTGACGGGGAGAACAAGAAGATGTTCCTGGAGAAGCTCAGGAAAGATGTGGAGGTATGTGTTTACAGTTAGATATGCCAGAAAGTGTAGGCTTTCTGCTTGCTCAGAGAAAAAAGCCCAACCTTCCCTCGATGTCACCCCTTTCTGTCTGTACTAATACATTTCCTCTTTCTCTGGCTCCACTCTTGCAACCTGCCACTCCTCTCTACTGTTTTCTCCCTCTTCCTTAAACACTTATGCTCCTGCCATTTCTTCACTTGCTTTTTATTTCCTCTACCGTCCGACCTTCCTCCAATCATCCCTCAGTTCCTGGCCCAGCTGAAGCTCATGGACTACAGTCTGCTGGTGGGGATCCACGATGTGGAGCGAGCCGAGCAGGAAGAGGTGGAGAGCGAGGACAATGAAGCCGAGGAGGAGGGCGAGAGTGACGGAGGGGGCATTGGAACACCCCCTGACAGTCCCAGCAACACCCTGGACAGCAACAAGCCCCTGTCACCTGGAGAGTTTGATCCCGCCATTGACGTCTACGCCATCAAAAGCAATGATAGTGAGTAGCCCAATGCATGTGGTTTTTTTTATAATATGATGTTAAATTCCAACTTTTGAAATGTGAGGGGTTGTATTGAACAGCTTAATAATAAAAACAGTACTTAGAGCTCCCCCTGCTGGGTATTAAAGTACTGAAGTTTGTCTTATTTAACCGTACCTGATTGTACTTGATGATACTGTGCAAATATAGATTCCCATTAAGGGTGCATTTGTTTTAAACTCCAGGTGCTCCCAGGAAGGAGGTTTACTTCATGGCTATCATAGACATCCTGCAGCATTACGATGCCAAGAAGAAAGCTGCCCACGCCGCCAAGACTGTCAAACATGGGGTATGTAGCTGCTCACAAGAAGCTATTTAATATGGTTCCGTTCAAGAAACATGACAAACTATGTGTCCCTTTACAGGCCGGAGCAGAGATCTCCACGGTGAACCCAGAGCAGTACTCCAAGAGGTTTTATGATTTTATCACCACTATCCTGTCATAGCCTTCAGGAGCAACAGGAGGGCACAGAGGCACATGGGAAAGGGGGGGAAGGCAAGCAGGGAACAGGGCAGGGGAAGAGAAGTGATGGAGAGAAAACCCATCGAGAGGCTGAATACACAAGGTGCTGTGATGGCGTTGTATCACTCTCCCTCATCCCTCCCTGTTTACTTCACCCTCTTTCAGCGGGGTGCCACGCTCTGCAGCTAAAGAAAAACCCATCATTCGTTTACATTTAACCTCTCCTATGTTGAGTTTTGTTCATGCGTTACTTTGGATGACGAGTGTTGAAAGGAAGTGTCCAAGTCATTACGTTTTTTTTTAAATAGAATTTGTTTATTTTGTTTGTTTGTTTATGTGGGAATATGGCTTTTTTTTATTGCCTCTAATATAACATCCAGCACCCTGCAGTTTTTTTATTTTATTTTGATGTTTTTATTTGTCTTTCCCTTATATCGTTTGGGGGGGGGGCGGTTTAGATGTATATAGTGTGAGGTCAAGGGGAGTGCAGAGGTGTCTTTGCAAAGACATGGCAGGATGTAAAAAGGAAGTTTGCGTTGAGCCTCGCCTAATGCAATCGCTTCATTTCAGGAACTAGGAAGCAGTCTTCCAATAGGCCAACAGCCAGACCCCCCCACCCACCCAAATGCTATACAAGTACTCAGCCAAACAAATCTTCCCATTTGTGTTCCTTTTCCATCACTTGTTCTTTGGATGCCTCCCCCTCTCACTCCTTCGTGTACAGTTGACGAATTGAGCTTCTGGGTTATCCTCTTGCCACACACACAAACAAACACGTCTCATCAGCTGAGATGAGTTCACTTGTTGCAGTAAATTATAATGCTTGTTTTCAGCACTAGTTGCGCCTCGTGGTTGTCAGCGCTTTTCCCCTTTTGCTTTGTTGTGGTGCGCAGTGTTTAAGAATGATTAAGGGAAGCATGTGTTTTTAAGGGAGGATTCGAGGACACAGCTTCTCTTAGGCGTTATTTACTTGCATAAACTCTGAATCAGTTGGGCATTGTTATGTAGACCTGGTTTCTGTTCCTGTGGCAGGGAATGACCCAGAAGTCCTGTGTGGTTGATTAAGAGTCAGCCACTCCTCGTTATATCTTCGTAAAGGGTGTCACATTGAAACATCAGCAGCCCTTAACTTTCTGTTGCCATCAGCACCTTATGAGTAAAATCAAAAATGTTGCACTTTTATTTGTTATTAGAGGTTAGGAGATCTTGTTCTGTTACGTGCGCTGCAACAAAGAGGAAAAATAACTCTGCTTTCATAGAATTGAATCTTTAGAGGCCCGATCTCAAAACCTGTCTCCTCCGCCATTTTTCACCTATGGGTGCTTCTTAATGTAAGGATCGGTGGGGAAGAATTTACTGCAATATTAGACGGGGAAAGAAGTTGGGTTTTGTTTACAGGGCTTATGTAAAGTAACCTCTCCAATCCTTGTTTTTAGAAGCGCCCCGTGGTGTTGTGGGTGGTGGGTTTTGGGACTGAGCCAACAGCGTGACCGTGCTTGCACGCTCAGGGCAGACAGAAGGCTGTTTACCTCCAGCATCGTACCAGCACACACCCAATGATGGCGAACAATGTGTGTGTGTGTGTGTGTGTCAGTGTTCAAAAGTTTTTTTTGGGGGGGGGTAGAAAGGGGAGGAGGGAAGAGTAGCTGCAGATGTAAAGATACGTGTTGTTACGTCATTAACACCAACAGCATTGTCCTCTTCTCTAACCTCAGCTGTGAGTCTGTTATTCATCGTTTGTGTTGTTGACATTTTTTAAAGGTGGTTTATCTGTGTTTGAATTTGGCAGTTTTATGAATTGATGTGGTAATATTTTGTTTGTTTCTGTTTGAGGTGTTGTTGTTTTTTTGTATATTTTGCACATGAGGAAAGGAACCAAATGTTACGAATATGATCCCAATTAGTTGATTATGGTCTTAACAAGGGAAATGCAATATACTCGTATGTAAGTGAGAAACGTTGTTGTGCGTGTGATGTTGTGTGTATCCCTTCTGGATAACCAACTAAAGCAAGTAAAAGACGTCATCCTTGACTATTCTAACCCATGCAAAAAGCTTCCATCATAATATGTTAGTTTAAATTTCATAGATTATATTCACATTTATATTTTTACATTGGATTTTAGTCATGAAACATAGGTGTATTTAAAAGAAAAAACTAAACGGAGCCACCCTTAGGAATGAATGATGGTGCTGTGGTAAATGAAGAATGATACTGCTTGAATTTATACAGTGCTTACTATAGATGTACTTTAAAAAAAAAAGTCATAAAAAATTGCATGTCACAGGACTAAGTTTCCTTTTCCCTTTGGTCTGTGTTGTTGGCTGTTCAGGTTCTCTTTGTGTCCCTACACTTTAACCAGATTTGTGAGCTGTTCAGCGTAAATTGGTCCCTACCATGCTTTAAATAATGTGATTTTCATTGTATACACTGTGCAAGATGTGTGCCTTTATACTCCAAAATTATTTAATTTTATATTTTGTAACCTTTTTTTAAAACACAGGCAAATGGTTATTTTAATAACAGGGTGTTTACTTTGACCTTTACATTTCAACCCCCCTGCTCAACCTTCCTCCACTCCAGCACCTCTGTGTTTAGATATTATTTTCACGTTATTCCGTCAGTTAAACTAAACAATTCTAATGATTGTGTTTTAACAGACAAAAAAGTGAATAGCTGTCTTAAATTTGAACACGCTGGATCAGTTTCAATTCTGTACATTCAAGTCCTTCATTCAGATTATTCAGTGTTTGCAGGCGTCCCTCTCCTCCTCAGAGCGAGGCGGTGTCTGCTGATATTAATCCCTTGTTCGTTGACGCTGGTCCTGCCTTTAGAAAAAGGGTGCGTGCGTGGAAGTGTATTGTGGAATGTGTGTGTGTGTTGTGGTTGTGTTTTCTCGTGCTTGTGCTCGCTAAGTGACTGCCCCTCCCATTCCCTCCTCAGGAGTATGTCGGCATCTTCATCACATTTACCCTCTCACATTTCAGGAATGTGTCTTTCTTTTCTTTTCTTTTTTTTTGTACATTTTATAATATTATTATTATTTTTGTGTTTGTCCAGACTTTCACTTACAACTCCTACTCATTTCTAAAACAGGTTTAGGTTCTCTTGCTTCCTCACCTCCATGTTTTTATTTTGTATAACCCAGAACACCTGCGTGTTTTCAGGGAGGTTGTCAGCACATCCTGAGTCAATGTTAGATGATATTTCTGTGTTCTTTCACTGTTAATGGGCAGTTTTGTTGTAACGTAGCCCATGCTGTACATAGGTTGTGTCGTAAAGGAAACAAGAAATGAGGGAACACAATCATCTTCGAGTGTGCTTTGCTCTCTTTGGCTTCGCTGTAGTCAGACTAATAAGCAAGTAATAAACAGAGCAGTGCATGCTGGGAGAGTGAGGATTTTTCTGTTCTGTTTCGGGGATATTAACTCTCCTCTGATGAAGTCCTTGCTTTTGTGACTTTCGCTCATGAACAAGCTCCTCCACCCACCAGTGAACTTGCTGCCACCGTTAACTTGCCAAAAGCATCTTTGAGCAGTCAGAACTACCCCACACGAGCTTAAAGAACATTGTGTGTCGTATAATGTGTCTGTTTAGGTTTTTTTCTTTCTATGTACTGGAAGCGAGATATGCATTGCTGATATGTGAACAAACACCCTAGCGTTCATGTGGTTTATCAAGTGTTAAGGGGAATTGGATTACAAATGCAAAGCCAGGCGAGATCTGCAGAGATGGAACCTTTTCCTTTTGGCCTTGAGTTTCAAAATCAACAAATTTTGTGGAGGATTTTGAAAGCAACTGAATCCTTTTTCTTTTTTAAATTTGCATGCGAAATTGAAGTCAAGAGAGGCCTGAAAACCTCCCCTCCTGCAATTGAGCTTTGGTCTCACAACAGTCCCTAGTACTTAAATTACTGTGTGTGTATGTGTGAGTGTGTGTGTTTCTTTATTGCTGTCTGACAAACAATGGCTGGTGAGAGTTCCCTTTCAGTGGCAGAGAGGCCAAAATGTTGATGTATGTTTATTGTTCTTCACATTTAATGATGACGATGATAATAATACACTCCATTCAATAAGCCTTCACTCAAACCAATTAAAGCACTTGTTCTGCTTAACTCACAGTCTACCTCTGATGTGTTTTTTCTTTGTTGTCTACAATCCCATGTCCCATAAATATATTCCTTAGTTTTTAAATGTTTGACTTACTGAAGCTCTGTATTTAAAATGAAAATATTTTTTTTCACTCGTGTTAATACTCAATCTCTGCTGAGGAAGACAGGAAACCAAGAAACTTATTCCCCGTGACTCTTAAATGAAGAGTTAAAGAGGGAAGGGAGCTATGCGGGGTTTAATTGCCACCGTTTGTCTATGTATGTTTAATTTTTTTTCAACGAAAACTAGCGGCGTTGTTTGTACTATTATTTTTGTTAACTACTATCAACTATTAACCCCGTGCATCAGTCTCTATCCCAGTTAAATTGTCTGCCGTTGCCTCTGATATCAAATAGATTTCAACCAACATTTTAAATGAATAATGTAGCCTAATTACATTTGGAGAAAAATAGCCTACACAAAAAAAACTGAACGAAAGGTGTCGAGAAACTCTGCGTCTTTCCTCTTCTTTTTATTATTGTTTGTTTGTTATATCATTATAATGATAAACCAAACGAGGGTCTGTTTCACAAGTTGCACCAGAGCGAGTCGCGCGCTGGAAAGAAAAGCGTGCCGGTGGAACAAAGGACATGCAGATTTCCACTCCCGGTTGGAAGTTTCATCACACTGGCTAAATTCTTTGCCCTTTGAATCATTTAGGGCTATACACTACAATTTAGCAACAACAACAAACTAAAAAAAAAATGAGACAGTAGTGATGATCTTTAAATAGCCTGATGCATAATTGAGTGTATCTGATTGCAGAAGTGCACAGATTGGGAGCAGGGAAATGCTGTTTGTTTTCTAAGTAGGCTACATATAAAATATGAAGGACAATCTGTTTATGGAAAATATTAAAATATCGTCTCTGCGTTTTTGTTTTTACCCGCGAAATATCAAATGTCACAAATAAAAATATTGACTGTAAAACCAGAGAAAACGAAAGCACATTGGGCAAAATTTTAACGTCATATGCAGCATTTTTACCTACTAATATTTATTTAGAGTATTTCTGTTGTTATTGCGATCAAAAGGTGTAGGCTACGCTATCGCAAAACTTGGCGGAAAACGTGCCTCAATGCTTTCATTAGTTTTTAATTATTCAGATTTTAATTCAAATTGGCTTTTAAAAAAATTGGTCGCTTATTACAGGAGGTCCAAGCATAGGTTAAAGCATTTTTTTTCTGGCTTTCAGGTTTACATTCGTGACTTTCCTTTTTATCCTTATCATGCCATGTGCTACTGCATTTTTATTCAGTATAAAGTAATTAGAATAAAGACTAGGCTATAGCTCTTTATGGAGAGCCCTGCCGTTACACAGGAGATGATCTATTGTTTTGTAACAGGCTATACTGCAAAATTGGTTAAACGCCAAGGCTGGGTTATCAGGCTATATAGGGGAAAATGCGGAGGTTGTGCTTTCGATCATGTTTTGGTTTAATAGCCTATGTTAAATATGAAATATAGGTCCTTCTCATTTTAATTAAATGCCCGAATGAACGCGGCAATTGCAGGCTTTATATTTACTTTAAAAACATGAACTTCTGAAGTGGCAGAGGAAATGAAAGCGTGCCACTAGAAAGAAAACATTTACATCGCCTGGGTCCTGTAGCTGTATGGATATAAAATCAGATTTTTCGAGAGGAGGAGGGGATGGTGGTGGCAGCTGCAGCAGCAGCAGCCGTAACGTGTTCCGATCTCCGCTGCAGTAAGAGGCGGGGGCTCATTTGCACCGTCAGTATAGGCTGCACTGTGGAGAACAAGCAGAGACAACCCAGCAGACAATAAACAAAGAGCGGCTCGCCATGTGCGCTGCAGCTGCTGCACGCGCGCGCGCACACACACAAGTGCACGCGCACCCAGTTGAGCTGCTGTGAGGAGTCACGGCCACCAGGGGGCAGGGTGAACCCTGCAAAGCCGAGGAGGAGAAAGAGACGCATTGCCCCAGATACATGCTACATCTTATGTGTTTCTAACGAAAACTGCAGCGTAGGAAGCCTATGAGCAGCATGTGAGGGAAGCTGCTCTGAAATAAGGGAACTCGGGTTCAAATCCACGTGTCAGCGAGTGTAAGTGTCTTTGAACAACAAACTAATTCCCTACCACCCCCAGGGTTGCTGCTCTGTACTGAACCTGACCTTTGACCTCTCTGTTATGTGGGCATAAGAGAATAGTTTCCATCAACCTCCACTAAGTTTCCCAAAGGTGATGAATGTGTTATCAAAGAGGGGTGAAGCTTTCCTCACCTTTAGATATCATTCAAAGGTGACAAAGACAGGGCTGTTGTTCTTTTATTTTATCTTGAAGGTCTCTTACGTAACATACAGTGGCAATATTTGTATATACTGTCTAAATCTGTCTAAATACAAGCTGCAGTTGCAATCAACATGCATTTAAAAGTGACAACACAAACGCAATATAAAATATGGAAAACAGTTTTTTGAAAAAACATCTTGTATTTACTGTGTATGCATGGTACATCTTCATGTTAACATTTCAACAGGATGTGTAGTGTGAACTGATGTCAGGCTGGCTGGTAGCTCTCCAGCCGCTCCAGCAAGACCTCTGAGTAGCCAGGGGAGTAGTACCTGAAACAACACACCGCAAAATACCATGTGTTATACTGAAGGATGTTTTGTCCTTTGTTTCCCCATGATCATAGAGATAGTGCTGAATTCTGCTTTTTAAAAGAACTCTTTACAAACCCAGTTTAACCTTAAGCCTTTTGTTAGTTTGTAAAAACACAGACACAATGACGTAATGATGTTACAGGACAGGTTTTCTGTCTGTATGTCACGTGATCTGATCAGTCACCTCTAGATTACTGTTTACGTCTCTCAGAGGGCTACCCACACAGGGCTTAGGTGTCAACAAGGTATCTGTTTTAGCATGCATGTGGGAGAGAAACATACCTGACTATCTCTTCAGGGAAACAGCTGTTGATAGCGTTGATGTGCTCCTGTAGAGGGGAGCCGGGCTCGGCCTGGATCTCTTGCACTTTCTTCAGACCCCCGCTGGTCACAAACAGACGGCGAGCCTTAGGGTCATGGGGCAGCACCTTTTGAGGGGAGGGAAGATGAGTGTATGGCACAGATATCGTATCTATAAGCTCTGAATCACCAAGACATTTTGATTTTTTTTTTGCCGATTGCTGATTCAGGTTGTGATGCTGGCTGTAGACTCACTCACTCACCTTGCTGAACTGGCAGACTACATGTTTGAGGATGTTGCTTGGTACATCGTAGAGGAGGGGCTCCAGAGCTGGGATGTAGGTGCACTTCTGCAGGATGCTCTTCAGAGCCTTCTTACTCTGAACAGAACAGGAGGAAATATACTGCATATCCTTTTCCCTTTGCCTTGACCTTTACCTTTGATACCAGCTGCACCAAAGGCTAATTTCCACTACTGATACCAGTTATCTGCGCCCAATGTTAGGCTGATAAAATATTACCAAGCTGCAGCTCTTACCTTGGCCTGCAGGTCCTCAGAGCTGCTGGCGTCCATGTAGAGCTCCAGCAGTTTGGGCAGCAGGTTAGCTGTGCCCACTGCCTTGGCGTGCTCAGGGGTGTGATGACCTATCTGGCCAATGGACCAGGCTGCGGCTGCCTTGATGTGATGTTCAGGTTCTTCGGACAGACACAGGGCCAACTGTGGCACCCCCTGCAGGACAGGAGGACACACATCAGAGCAGCACCAGTTCAGATCATATGACCTACATACTGGACCTGAGGGATGTGTCTCTGGTTTTAGTGGTGGGTTTCGCTGTTGTCACATGGCTTGTTCAGGGGAATCAGAAAAGAGATTGACAACCACACACACACACCTTGGACACAATGACAGCCATGGCAAGGTTCTCAGTGTGAGCTGCCACATATCCCAGCATCATGATCGCCGGCAAGCGCAGGTTTCCACGGCAAGCACCAAGATAGTCGATCACTTCTGTGATGGCACCACAATTCACAATCACCTGGGACAGCTGGAAACACACAAACACATGACTTTCTGTCCGGCAATGCATGTTTGTGCCTGTAAGTATAAGCGTGCAGCACCTCTGGTGTGTGTTTCACCACCTCCCTCAACAGGGTGGCGACGTTCTTCCGGACATACTCGTCTGGATCTCTGAGGCAGACTACAGCTGCAGGGAAGATCTCAGCCTCTATCACCATCTCCGCCAGGCTGACCGAGTGCTTACTGATCTGACTGAGGGCTGAGAACACCTGCCTCTGGATGGAGACAAAAACATGTCTTAAATCGAATCATTTCCAGACTTAATTCCCCTTTTTGTTAGTCAATTACAGCTTCATGTTGCACATTCCTGAAGCCAGCATCTACATCATACACGTTACTGTTTTTTATTAAATATCTGGTCCTTTATACATTACATTACATTCATTAAATCAAAATCAATTAACATTTTATGTCATTGTTAATATTTAACATTTAAATTGGTTGCCAAAGAAATTCTTTCATCTTCAAAGAATTTGTTTCCAGGACAGATTTTTTTTCAGCTTTTCTGAATGTGTTGCTGGCAAGATCTGTAAAATGTCAACATAATTTTGTGACTCTACTCCACCTTCTTGGCACCTGTAATGTTTACTCGAAAATGTTGAGTTACTACAATGGCCCTTTGTACTCAACATCACCCAAAATACAAAAGAATATTTTGAACTAAACTCTGTGATTAAAAGTGTGTCTCAAGTGTGTCCATTTAATGAATTCCTAATTAATTCACAAACCACAATGTATACCAAGGAATTCAGACAGGGCAAGAGTTTTTTGTTGAAAAGGTGAATAAAGGAGAAAGAGGACAAATGGATTAAGAACAATAATATGGGATAGAGTCCAATAGAATCCCAAAAGAAAAAAACATACATATATTTAGACATTATATTTAGATTTTTAAAAGTAGAAATATTTTCACCAATCTGCTCTGAAGCGTCCTGTTATAATCATTAAGGAATAATATGTGATAATGTAACAGTAATTTAATTTGACAGGAAAATCATTAAAAGTATTCACGATAAACATTCATATTGTTATTATTAAAAACAGCATTAAGCTCCAATAATCAAAACAACATGGCGCATTGAGGTAGCATGAATATTTAGCATTACCACATTTTGCAAGCATTGTTTTTAGGCTTGTAAACATTTTCCAGAGAAAAGAAAATGAATATTATCATTTACTGTAATGACATAAAATCATCAAACGTGTTCGTTTCATTCACGCCATTAGACGTGGTCAGCTGAGTGAAAGTAGCAGCGGTTCAGGTGAGGCTGGCCTACCTTGAGTTTGGGGTCTGGGTTGAGGATCATCTGTGCCAGGTGGGCGATGGCACCATTGTCCACCACGGTCTGGGCCTGCTCCGGCGTGTGCTTGGAGATGTCGCTGAGGGTGGAAGCTGCGATGCGTTTGAGGGCCATCTCAGGCTCCAGGAGACACAACACCAGCAGGGGGACAGCACCCGCGTCCACCACCGTCTGGGCCAGCGCTGCACGGTAATAGAAAAGAGGTGGGATGAATGTGTGCAAATGCAGGTGCTTGAAGGAGGGAGCGCTGCATCCCAGGACAAAGAATGACTGAATTAATTATTTTTTTTAATCTTACCATGCGCTGGAATGTTTCTTTAAGCCAAGAAAGTGACAAAAGGGCAGAAGGAAATCATAGAAATCTAAGCATGTCAGCGTGTCTTACTTACATGCGTTGTGTCGTGCGATGCAGGCGAGAGCCCAGGCGGCTGCCTCCTTCACCCCGGGGTCAAACTCCTCCAGGCAGAGAACCAGGGCATCAACTCCCCCGCAGGCCACCACAGCCTGGGACAGCTCGGGGGAGTGTTTGGCGACTGCACGCATCACAAACGCTGCTGCCTTCTTATAGAACCTCTGCATACAAACACACAAAGATACAGGATTTAAAAAACAACCATTTTCTCCTTTGAAATATTTTTATTTTCTTGTCTTTTCCATTCTTTTCTTTAATAAACCCTGTCAAAAAAAATATTGACATGGTAACTGGAAATAATATGAAAAGAAATAATATGTATATTTCATTTGCCAAAAACATAATTCACTGAGAGAGAAATTTGAGACCATTTGTGTGTCGGATCACCCCACATTTAAGTTTTTTTCTATACATTTCAGTGGTGATGCTGTATGCTAAGTACAATATAATCCAGCAGCAAATTCTGGATTCTTGTCATATTTGACATCAAACGTAGACCAATTGTGTCAGATTTTAGGTTCATTATATGAGACTGCAATGTCCCATTAATAATAACAGCTAAACCATGTCTCCCTCCATTCTGGGCCTCTTAGTGGGCTGAGGGGGAGAAAGAGAGAGGAGACAAAGGCCTGGTTGCTCTAATACTAAAGGGCTCTTAGGTTTTGAAGTAGCCCCCAGGGCAAAATGCCAAGTTAGCCCAAAACACACTCTCACACTCAGGGGGCTGACCCAGAGGTCCTGCCTCTGTCTCTTCCCTCACTCACTCACGCACGCACGCACGCACACACACACACACACCAGCCTCTAGAGGGCAGAGACTGAGTACTGCACACTCTGTAGAAAAGCCAAATGATGAGGCACTGACATTGTGTGAGGCCAAAGAGTGGACCAGCTGGGGCAGGATATCTTCCTTCACCACTGCCTCGGCCAGGTCATCGCTGTGGTCTGCCAGGCGGCCCAGAGCCAAAGCTGCCGTCTGCTGGATGCCGGGGACCACGTCCAGCATCAGGGGACGCAGCATTGACATCACACCTGCAGGACAGGAGAGGAGATGAATAACTAAACACTGGGGATATATTAGCAACTGAAGCTAACACAGTCTTATGAAAACCTTGTTTCTTACCAGCACTGTGAAGGATGTCTATGTTTTGGGGCCTGGCTGCCAGATCAGCGACAGTTTGCACAAACTGCATCCTTGATTTCTGATACTGCTCAAAAACTGCAAAGCACCAAAACAAACATGAAGAAAGTTTAGCCACTGAGGTGAATCTTCCATTTATCAATCAAAACAGCTCGCAAGTCTCACCTTGAATGATCTGTCGTTGGCTCATTGTTGCCCTGGGGAAGGATTTATTTTCACACGGGTTATCTCCCCAGAAAGCACCGTGAATTTACCGCAGGATTCAGTATAGCGTTTTTGCTCTTGGCCGTGTCCAGGTTTGGATTTCAGGTGGTGTTGTATAGTGTTGTCGTGGCAACAGACGGGAAGCAGAACGTTCGGCTGTTTCCGATGAAGGTCGACTAGAGTCGAGAGGAAGATCGTCTAGAGCCGAGAGGAGTCACTCTCACCTCGCATGGGTTTGTTTTTTTTTTGCTTCCCGGAAATATGTCGAGTGTGAGAGCTCTGTGTCGCTTCCTCGTCTCTGTCCACGGCGTCTTCAGTTCCCGCTAAAAGACCAGCCGCGGACATGTCGCGTTTACTTTTCACAACGTCGTTTATTCAAAGGAAAACAGAGTGGCGAAATCGAAGCGGCCATTGGCTGATGAAGTGAACATGCTGCTCATTTCACGCTGCGCTGCGTGGCGGAACATTTCAAAAGGAAAGAGTCTCCCCCCTCTTCTTTTTAAATTTTGCCTGCCTTTCCTGCTCAGGAGTGTGTCCTCACATGACCTGCCTGCCTGAAGGGGGTTCGACTTGTTATTTTCCGTTTATAAGAAGGGATTAATATGGACTAAAAAAATGCATTGTTATTACAAAATGTGACGGAGATGGGCCTGGTCCAAACATTTGAGCCGCCGTAGCAAACAAAGACGAAAAAGTTGGACTTAGATAAAAAATAAATAAAAAATAAACCATAGACCAATTCAAATAGAAAATTAAAAATAAAGTACCGTAGGCTATGGACAAAAAAGGTCCAATCGGGCACACAGACACAGCCTTGCATAATGTTGGTTTTGTTACCCAAGTGAATGAAAGAGATTTTAGATGAGCCGATTCAGGTGGCAGAGTGCCAATTTATTAAAGCCTGTTCCCATGTCCCATGTAGCCTACATCTTTTACAAAGTTTCAGAAACAACTAGGTCTATTTAGACATAGGCTATTTTAAAATGTAAGTAATTTAAAATAAATATTAAACCCAATCGGGCTCAGTTTTGTGTTTATGCGATTAGGTTTTTGTTTGCTTGTTTTTTTACACATAAATGCATAGATGAGTTTTGTCGGCTCCGTTTGAGGTCTCTAGGCTATTTAAAAAAAAAAAATAAAATACCGGATGAATAGCCAAATTATCACATTAAACTAAGTTAGCTTTATTATCACTCGGGTAAGCCATCAAAAACTGATCATTCTGAATAAGCAATAGGCTATTTTCGATTTTTTTACGCTAGGTACTGTATATAGGATAACCATGTTGTGTGGTAATGACGCTGCTCTGTGAAACACTAATAGGCTAAAATAAAATAAAACGTCAAATTCAAGCACTTATCTGATAGCGAGTGTGGTTCTTTCCTTCACGTGTTTACAGCATGACACAGGCTAGGCTACTCTTAAGCCCTGCTGCCCGCCTGATTTACTTATTCGGGTTTAATTGTAAAGCTCGATTTGATTGAAAAATATTTTTGAGCCTCCTGGGTGAGATATTATGTATTTATTTATTATTATATATATATAGCCTGCAGTTTTACAATTAATTCGATTTCGGGATGAGGAAAAAAATTGAAATAACATTTAAAAAAAATAAATAATAAATGTTCATTATGAAATTTAAATTAATAGGCCTACTTTTAGCATCCAAAATAAGGTGACGGTTTCACAATGCTGGAGATTGACAATTACACTGGAATGTAATCGTGCAATATAAAATAATAATGTTTTTGCCTCATGTAGCTTAAGTCTTTAGTTTCATTTTCCATAAAAACTGCTGCATTTCAGTCCAGTCAAATCCAGTTAGCTGCTCGTGCGATAATAGTCAATACAAAAAAAAAAAAACAAGCAAAAGAGGGCTTCCGTCTTAATTGGTTATGGTCTGAAACACGACTTGATGACGGGCCAGATCTCCTCCTCCTGACTCCTCAGAGCTGCCCTCCTCAACAGAGTTATCACTGCTGACTCACACGGACATGACGTTTTGCCCATTTGTAATACTCCTTTGTTTAGTTTTAACGCGTAGCTCCAAACTGACTGGTGTCCTTCCGTCAAAAAAAGAAAACCCAGCTGACTTCTTTAGTTAAGTGTAAAATGTTTTATTTAGATGTTTTATACTGTGCAACAGTAACAATACAATAAGTTGTCCATACAATCGAGCGATACAAATACGGAAAACACAACATTTGAGACATCAAAACATCTGTCATTGAGCATGAAATGGAGCTGAACAGGAGCCCAAGTCATTCCCTCAGAAGAAAGGGGAATAAGAGAATAACATCATCGCTGATTAAATATGCATTTTGTTTCTATTTACATGTGGATTCGCCAAAAACTGCTTAGCCTATACCATGTTAAAGACGTGGAGCATAAGCAATCCGATTCCACTGCAGCTACAAGAAACTGTTTTTTTTTCCAGTAAAAAGGCAATATTAAAGTTTTTCCTCCATAGGCATTTTTTCGTGAAGCAGCGCTACACAAAGATATTTTCCTTTCGTTGAAAATAGTCGATGCCTGAAACACTTCCACAGACCCGACACAATGAGAGTTGTGGGGGGAAACACGCAGAATCCGCTTTCACGAAATAAAATCCGAAAAAAGTGTTATCATGAGCATGCATGTTTAAACTCGACGGCTTCAAAAATATCCCAACACACATGAAATAATCATGATAAAACACGTTTCATTTGAAAAGAAAATATAAAAGTCTATCAGTCTTCAGTCACTTCTGTAAAATAAAGATGTAGCTTTTAAAAAGGGGGATAAATGCTTGTCCAACTGTTTCCAACTTTCCTTTTTTTTGTCAACATCAAAATCTGCTTCGATATTTAAAAATAAAAATCCCACTCCACCCGACCTTCTCGTTCCTTTTATTTTGGAAATGTCTCTGGTTCCGCTAAACTTACATATGATGCCATAATATTTATAACAACAAACGGAGAAAAAGATAGATAACATTGTCTACACAATGGAACTACGTTGGCATGAAAACAGTAGGCCTATTAGCTGAGCGGGTGTCTGGCGTTGGCTGGTCCGGTTCAGTCCGGAGCCCCACGTCATCCGGAGGAGGTCGACGAGCCGTTCAGAGCAACCTTCCGGGGTTTGCCGCCGCCGCCGCCGCCGCCGCACTGCGTGAAAGGGCGACTGGGGGTCGGTGGGGCAGCGGCCGGGGTCCCGTTGACGTTATTTGGGCCGTGCGGAAGCTGCGGGTGCGGGGACTGCGCAGGCGTGCCGGGGCTGGGCAGCGACGAAGACGTGGAAGGAGCCCCGGCGGGACTCCCGGCTTTGTCGCTGGCGGAGTCGCTCTCGGGACCGGATCTGCTCGCGCTGTTCTGGCCTTCCTGTTGCGCGTGGCTCACCTTCATCTTCTTACAGTTGGGTCGGACTCTGTACTTCAGCGGCAAAGGGCCATTCTGTGGAGAAGGGTCGAATAAAGACATGACAAAATATTATAAGAGCTGAATCAAAACCAAATGCATGAAATTAATAACCTCAAACATTAAACAAGTGTAACCTGCATGTTCTTCCCATGTTAAAATATGTTTCGAACCAGCCTACTTACAAAGTTCTGTGTAAAAATGTGGCAATTTCATCAAATTAAAATAGCATGTAACCAAACATTTTGAAACTGTGAAACATATTCTGAAGGACAGATGAAGCACTTCTCATTTTCTTAGGAACAGGGATCAAATGAATGAAGGTCAGTTGTGTTCCTCAGGGAATAACCCCCATGTGGGTCTACAAGCCAAATAAAGTATTTGGAAAATGCAACTCTTCCCCATCCAACAGCCTCCTGTCAGTCTGTATTTTGTTTTAAAATAATTATATTGCTTTTTATTAATATATTAAACTGACCAGAGTAGTGTCTGCTCCAGTTACAACAAAAGGTGTGGAAACCCATATTTAACAAACAGCCAATTTTTCTGTGTAGTGTACAACTTAGCTATACTTGGTGCAAATAAAAAATCTAAATTTATGATTTTCAATTTATTCATTAATAATGTAAAATGTAAATACACTAATTGCAACATCAACACTGGTTGTCTCTTAACTACTGCAATTACACACTGCATTTATTTTTTTAACCTTAAATCACAGTGTGTTTAAATGTATGCTCCAGCTGATGAGAGGACATGATGATAGTAAAGTTTATTTGACAATGTAAATGACTTAAAATGATCAGTACTTATATATTTAATCAGGCAAAATAAGAACACTTGTGATGTTAGTTAGTTACACAACACAGCTGTGGATAAATCAACTGAAATCAAGTTTATTTTGCCCAAAAAGATCTCTTACTCTTCTCCAAGTGTAGATATATGCTATATCCATTAACGTGTAGTAATCTTTCAGAGGTTCGTCTTCATACATGACTTCAACCTGAAGAAAACCCAAAAACAAAAGACAGTACATTTTTATTTTTAATAAATTTAAAACAGTAAATATATCTGCAATAATGAAAGATTTTGAGATATGAATCATGATATCACAATTCTCTTGCACCTTAAAAGTAGTTTAAATGTCCTGTCTATATTTATCAAATATAAAAAAAAAAAAATAATCAGAAAATGACCTGGTAGGTACTTGGGATGTCCATTTTGCTACGCAGAAACTTCCTCAGGTGCATGACTGTCATGGCTGCTGGACACTGCAGATACCTCTTGTTAGCCACCTGCAGAACAAGTAAGCATTCCAAAATTGTACACAGGACAATATATTTGTATGGAAGTATATTGATAAAGAGTGACTAAGCATCTAAATTATTACACACTGGTCTACCTTAAAAGCAGGAAAAGAATCTGCTTTGAAAAAACAATGTTAACCAAACATTGTTGTTGCAAAGCAAATTCTTTTCCTGGGACAGATTTGACAACAGAGATGGCAAACTGAATATTAATTAGTTACTTCCCTAAAACTCTGCAGTAGCCTAAGTTTCATTCTTATTTTATTCCAAAGGATGCTAACAAGAAAAACACACTGTTTGCAGAGAAGATAATGTGGCTGAAATCCATACCTGATCTTTAGACGGCTTGTCTTCCACTATACCTCCCAGTCTGCACAGAATGACAAAAGAGAAAATAATAAATAATTTTACAACTCTATGATATTTATGTCATTCATGTGCCAACACCATACATACTTAAAATAACATTTGATCACGATCAATAAAAACTCATGATATTTAAAAATCTAAAAATATTTAATTATAATTTTGTGGTCATCTGTTGATTTACAGAATCAGCCACAAAAAGTAGGATCTTTTCCTTTTTTTTTAAAACTGTATTTGACACCTACAGTAACTTATCACTCATGTCAACAGCCCTTAAAACTTTCTATAGTATTGCAAGAAAACCAAGAAGGTTGGCACTGCCCGAGACAAGTTGCAAAACATACAATTAAATAAATTAATGGCTGAAACTACATACACACATTATAGATACATATAGAAAAAGAGGAGCCTATGAGTGATATCCAATAATGATTATTGGAAAAAAGCCAATTTCTTAACTTGAAGAAAATGCTTTTTCTGGATGACCTTCCGCAGGATATCAGTGATTTTAAGAACTGAAATGGGCAGTGTTGTGCCCTGGATATTTATTATGTTGGACAGAAGAAAACTAAAGGTGGAGGATAGTTGACCTTGTTTTTTCAGAAGCAGGACAGCTGAATTTTGGAAGGGTGCACACTTTATATATAATGCAGTATTTTATATCCATCTATCTTCCATATCTAAAGAAAATCTGATGGAACACATCTTACCCAATATGCATGCGTTTTCTTAAGCATATTATGATAATATAAACATGACATTTCTTGCCACTGTAACTGAATTAAATACTAAGTTTATACTGAAAACTGCTACTTTGTTAAGAACAAAGATTTATACATATAAAATCTAGCATTAATAATAATATTACAAAAAGTATAAATGGAACAAAACCAACCAAACAAAGCCTACCTGGTCTGGTCAAAAAACTCAATAGAGAGGCTGATGATCTCATCATCTGTAATAATTCTCTTGTCCTCGTCTGCCACCTCACCACGATCCTCATTTGATCCATTAGAGGCTATAGAATCCACAAACACACAGAAAATTAAGTTAATAAAAAATGGATGAATCAAAAATATAATTTGGAAGAAGCAGAGTGTAAAGCAAGTCTTTCATTTCATCCAAAACTTGAAATGCATGTTTCTCTTCACTGTGACAAAAAGAGAAACTACTACATTGTAAATTCATACACATGCTTTCTCTCACCATCTACAGGGTGATCCGCATAAAAGTCTCTCCTCCTCTTCATTTCATCTGGAGGACATTCAGGAAGACGAGCAATCACAAGTCTGTTCACTTTCAGTTGTCACAGAAATACACTCGAAATAACTTTGTGATTTCCAGCAGTAAACCTGACCACGTTTGTTGAACACAATGGGATAAATGACATTGGAATAGTGGCAGGGATGTAAAAATTCACAAAATGATTTGATCAATACATTTGATTTTATTCCATTATGAATTATTTTAACAAACTACAGCAAAATTAGATGTGCATCAGAAGCTGCCAAACTTCCATTTTACCAGCACATGCTACCTTATAGGAGTGTACATGATATAAATGAAAACAAGTGGAGTTTTGCCTGATATATTTTGAGAGCTTTGATCAACAGCATATTTGGTGTAGCACAAGACAAAAGCAGCAACTCCATCTCCAAAGTAACAAAAACAACCAAATGAGATGATGCTAACAGCAGATATGATCTGCTGGCTGACTACGGATAAAACATCTAATGAAAAACAAAGGTACAGAGAAAGTGTGCGAAAGCAAAGTGAAAGTATAAGCCCACGTTAAGCTACAGAGGTGGTTCTACCGTCTTACTTTTGAAGAGACCGGGGACCAGCTTGTACACAATGTCCTGTAGAGTTTTGTCAGACCTTGAGAGAGGAAGCGAAATTTCAGTCAAGTCATTGAGATACTGGGATTTTTAACAAATGCAGTCAAAAATAGAAAAACATGGTGAATCGTTCCTATTAAGACAGATGAAGTATGCTTATGCTGTAACACTCCTAAATACTCTTTTCTTGCATTAAAGCACACATACAGCCTGTGTGCAATACACAGGACATTCAATAGACATTTTTAAGTGGCATTCAAGGCTGTGGAAAATCTCACATATATTATGCAAGCGTCCCTTATGCCGAAATATTTAAAACTAATTACTGGCTGATCCAGCTGCTCAGTATGGAAACAAAGGGGAAAACCACAAAAGGGCAAGAAAACAGGAAACAAAGGCAGTTCAAGCTATTGTTGCAGCTGCATAGTATTACCAATAAATAAATATGAAATATTTATATATTAGAAAGAACATAAAAAGCATACTGAGGTGCATCAATTCAACCCATGATGAGGCACAAAACACACAGTTTGTTTACTCCATGAAAGAAGGCTTCCTTTGCCTAAAAAAAAAATTATATCTCTCTATTTTATTATATTAAGATGCAGAATATGGCAGAACATTCAGTAACCATAGTTCTCACCTAATGTTGAGCAGAGGCTTGGTTTTATGCACTTGTACATCACAGATTGGACAGTATTTGCTGGTTTCCAGGTAGCGCACAATGCACATCTTGCAAACTGCACAGGGAAGTAAAAAAGAAAGAAGAAAACCCTGCTAATGTTAGATGACGTCTGAAAGGATATCCTGAATCTGAGCTGGTGAAGCTGAAGCTGGTTTAATAAGGAGTTGTTGCCGTGAGAGTTCCTCATTAACGCTGCAGCTCTGAGCAGTTAAAAAAAAAAAAAAATCAACGTGTATGTGCAGGGAAACATGTCAGACAGATTTCTGTAGGCTATAACTTGCTGCAACATATTTTCACGTCTCATGTTAACACCTCCGAAAACACACACACAACGAAAGAGCTATTGTTTCAGTGTCATTTTGCTCACATGAGTGGAGACATTCGATGATGGTGGTTGCGTCTATGAAATATCCTCCGCACAGGACGCACATGAGGTGAGGGTTGAGCTCAGTGATCTTTATCCTGGTCGTCCGATGCATGTTGACAGACAGGAACAACAATCCTGCCAGGGGGAAAAAAGAAAAAGTCTAAACAATGCATGCACTGCAGGCGTGGAGGCATCAGAGGGCTGCAGGTTGCCTTGACATCGCAGGTCAGACCATTTGGGGGGGGGGACTGCTGTTTGTTTGACTGCGTTAAAGCAACATCATGTTTTATGCTAATCCAATAAAAACCAACAGGGGAAGGAGCTTGGTGGCAGATTGATAGCGCCACAGAGTCACCTGACCGAGGCGCAGTGAATAATCATAAATCAATCATTTCCACTGGGCGATCGATAAAGCTCCTCTCCCTCACTTCATTTTAAATCTGCAGCGTTTAAAACACATGGCGACGTCAGAGAAGCGCAGGTCCAGCCATAAACGAGCTTCCATCAACAACAAAAAAGATTCATCAGCTCCAAAAAAAAAAAAAAAAAAGACAAAAAAAAGGGGCACAGCAAAGTAGGGGATGGGTGCTACTAGTTTTAAATTATAGAAGCAAACGTCGAGACAGTTCAGAGCAAGATAGACAATAGACTAACGATTATAAAACAAAACATATGCGTCTGCAGCTTCTCTCTCTCTCTCTCTCTCTCAATAAAAAATGTAAAGAATTAGTTTTTGACACCTCTTTAGAACCAGATCCAAACGGAGAAATTCGTCTGGGAAATAATATTAGGTGCGCGATCTGTGGCGCCCCGGGGTGAGTGTGGGTGAAAGGGAAATGATAGGAGACACCCATTCACTGCGTCAGGTGTGCCACACAGGCTATGGGGGAAACCTGAGCGTTTCTATGGCAACTCCTTTTGCTTTTTTAGCCCACATGGCTGCTCGCCAGTCACCAGAACAAGCCAGCATCTCCAACCAAAACAACAGCACAGCGAGCTGCCGGTGACCAGAGCGGGAACAAGGAGGGACCGGAGGCTCCCCGTCCCTCCGCGCACACAGACAGCCGCTGGACTGCCAGGCTGCCGACAGCACGGCTGCCATTTTGTAGAGGGGGAAAAATCCCGTGTCGTTACAGCGGGCTGCGGGGTTTCCTTCAAAGGGGGGCAAATAAAACCAGTATCAGGGGCGTTTACACGAGCTTCCCAAATCTTTACGGACTACAAGGAGGAGAAATAAGTGTCCCACTCGGAGAATAAGCTCGGCTTTACTGTGGCTCTCTTTGCGCCGTGTTTTTTCACGGCGTGTGCGCGATAATCAGCACCGTGCAGCACCAACATGGCCAGACAGCAGCGGCTGCGCTGAAGCGCACATTGGGCTCATACTATCCATATTATCAACTAAAGTAACACACACCGCCCCTCTATTAAACGTCAACAGTGTCTATACTTTGCGCCAATGGGCATTTAAGTTTATAAACGCATAAACACAAACGGTGAAATAAGTTCTCCAATGCCAAAGTAGCCTACCATCGTTTCCCATTTAATCCAGTATTTACGAGCCATAAGACACACTTGTCGGCGCTTAATAATAAAAGCGTTGCTATGAGGACTCTCTGGGCGCCCTTTACTGTCATTTGAAAAAACAAAAACACCCATTAAAAAGTCTTCGTGTAGCTTACAGACTGGACATGAGGAGGGAACCCTCTTTAAACACTGGATGACAGCCAGCCTGTCCAGCCTCGAACCCACCCCGTTACTTTACGGAGCCACAGTCGGCACCGTGCCCGAGTCCCCGGCCGGTTCCAATGCTCCAGCCGACCTCTCCTGGCCGTCTCTGAACGGACCACTGCAGGGACGTTTAGACAGCGACTCATTTTCAAAGGATGCCCAACACATGGATCATGATGGATAATGTCTACATAGCCTATAAGCAGGGAGCCTGTTGCGCCATTATTAATCGATTGACTTGTGTTTGGACAACTGCTCTCACTCTGTCCTGCAGGAGCTGCATGCACACTTTGAGACTTCAAGTCAGTCACTCAAGAAATCCAAAAGCGCATGAGTTCATTCACACTGGGAACGAATGCTGCTAAATGGCTGGAGCACAAATCTAGGATAGGCTATAGACTAAATCCTGTTCAAGACTCTCATTAAGGATTCAGTTTTGAATACAACATTGACTGAGGTAGGCTATATGTAGCCTACCTCATATATTCAGACAGGTTTAATTATGAGGTCGGCCAATTAATTCAGAAGCTACTGAACCTTTAATTCTCTCAATAAAGCAACAACAAATGAAGAGATTTCCCTTAGGTTCTTGCTCAGACCAGTTGCTCCTTTTAAGGTCCCCCTTACACGTAAATCAACAGCAGCTGGAAATAACCCAATTAAAACAAGGCAACGGGACAAAACAAGTCCTCATATTAATCGCTGTCAGTCAATTCAGAAAATCTTGAAATAAATAGGCCTAACTGGAGATTCCTAATTGACCACATGGCTGAAACGTATTCAGGTCAGTATAAACAAGAAGCACTTTCATTTGGTGTGTTAAATTGTGCTCACAGCGCACTGTAAACTATCCAGTATGTTAGGCTACATTGTCACGTCTATACCCACAGACCCGTGAGGCTGTCATCCTGCAAATCCGAGAGGGGGGAAATACATTTATTTTAACCAATTAAGCACACACAGGGACTCCACCAGCATTCATAAGCAAAATGATAATTTTTTTTATCCCCCACACACCCCCGAGAGGCAGAAGCCCTGGCTCGTGTCTGTCTGTCCTTCATCACCAGATTCAGAGCCACATAGTGCGCGAGCATTTACGTATGAAGGTGAAAATATGGAAATCTATGTGCTTAAATGTCAACAAACAAACAGTCTATGCTGGCCAGAGCAGATATGAAAGATAGGCTACATTGTACAGATACTTTGGCTGCTTGCGAGACACAACCAGGCTTTTGTATCTTGGCCGACGTGTCGCCCACATTTTTTTTAATTTCTCAAAAACACAACCACCCTTTTAATTAAAGATAATCATACACCAGGAGATAAACAGCCACAGTGCGCGATCACCGATGGTCCAGTGTTTACCGAGCAGCAATCATGAAACATTTATGCACAGTTGAAATGGTTTGCCTCCTTGTCACGTTGACGGGACCAATCCAATTTAAGTTAATAAATACCACATATGGTAACATACGCCCTAAACCAACATCACGCCCAGTTCACAACACTCCAAACACCCCGACTCTATAAAATAATGACGCTGGATGGAAATATGGGCACACAAGGACCGTTTGGAGCACTTGCTGCTGTTAACATCTCAGCCAACACAGCCTGGTTCGCCCGAGATCTCCCACTTTACATAAATCCAAACGACACAAGGCAAACCCCAAACGCGATCAACTTATACAGACAGATTGCTGAATGCTAGATAATGCAACACCGGCTGCGTGAGGATCTTAATTCCTCTTTGTGGCCGAACAGGGAACATCTTTTAGCCCCCCGAAAAAAAAGTGGTGTGCAGACGCACACGGAGCTCCACGTCGGTGATCGCTGCAGCCACCGTTGAAAGCTCCACATCCACCGCTGGATCAGCGCGTAGAAATACACAAAAGCACCGACCCCAAACCTCGCCTTCTGCCCCCGTTAGTTAGAGACGATATCGAATAAGGCATACCTGGAGGCTCGGCTGGAAATCGGTGGGTCTTCAGGCGAATAGACAATGAAAGTTGGGAGGCGATCAGCAGAAAATGAATAGGAGTCGAGCCGCCATCTTGAAGCAGGCTGCAGACGCTGTCAGTGGCGGAGAGCGCACGGCGGACCGGAGCGCATTTCAGATGTGCGAATGAAACTCCTCTCTTCCTCGCCGCCTGCGCGCCGTGTGCGTATCCGATCCGCGGCTTCAAGAGATCCCAGTCGTCCGGCTTCGGCTCGGGAAGGCTCCCACTTCGGCACCGACAACTTTGCCTCCAAAATATCCGCTTCGCCCCCAGTAAAATGCAGCAGTGTGTGTGTGCTCTGTGGAAACTGACACCGTCCCCAAAATGGCTTGTAGTTCGACCGCCCCGCTTTGGTCACGTGGTCTCGTTGCTTAAGGGTGCCTAGGAATTACTGTCGGTGTATGCTGTTCTCTTAATCTACTACGCATGATTAAAAAAATAACATAAAACACACACACGTACATTCTAATAGCATTTTAAACACAAATCTCATAAACAACTCAGCAGTTTGTTCTCTACTTGAGCTGAAATGTCACCAGCACCAGCTTAAGGGCGCATAGAAAATTACTGTCGGTGTATTCTGGTTTTACTTATGTATGACGCATGATTTAAAATAACCTATAATGCACATTCATACAGTTTAATACGCTTTTCACCACAAAAGGGTAGAACCCGTGAACTAATGTGCATACTTTGCTCAAATGGCACTTTGATCATAGGGGCGTCTATAGAAAGCAGGCTACTGATGGTGTGCCCTCGTCTCTTTGATGTTAAAAATAACTGAAGCACAGGCACTCACGCACTTTCGTGTCGTTTTGGCCGTCAAAATGCTTTATAGCCCTCACTAGAACACGCAGTCAATCGGAGCACCACACAGCTATAGGCTACCTTATTGATCTCCGTTAAGCGTTGCTTCAAAAAAACCCACGCACTTGGTTAAAACGTGACGAATGGCTCTGGTGTCAAACCTTTGTCACATGCTGTCATGATATCTAAAAAAAAAAACTTGATGAATTGGAGTTTTTATCCTTCAGTCAGCGCCGCAGAAAGTAAAGGCATCTCGGATGTTTTTGGAATCTGACCCGCCGTGGTGCTTCAGCTGAAGAGCTTTGAACTTTCGGCTGAGGTGGATGCAGAACGCTTTAGAAAACCTAAAAGGGGACCAAAAATCTCAGAGAAATTTAGACAAAAAAAATCGCTGGATCGCTGCTAGTCGTCTTTCATAAATAGCTCCCACCAGCCCGGGTCCTCCAGAAGAAGCTGGGCTGAGCCTCTTGTTGCAACAAATGCTGCCGGAAACAAAATACACTGCTGTCATGCAACTATGGCAAAAATACTAATCAGGCTGGTAAGGGTTGGAAGAGGAAATGCAGTTACTTCACCGGCTCCATATTCAACCTAAATGTTTCAGACAAAACCTACAATATGACAATGGCATCAACAGTATTTATTAAATATATTTCCTCCCACGAAATTGAAATTCCCTTCAAAGACGAGCAACATATCTGGATCAGTGTGAGTAGGCTTTGCCGAGCCATGAAATGATTCAAAGAATGAGGTGGGGGTTTTATTTCTCTGTTTTATTGAAACACAAGTTGGAATGATAATTGTCTCGTGTGCGTAAACGTGTCACGTCAATCTCAAGGTACAAAAGAAGCTACAAAGAGGTGAGCAATGCCGCTGGAAACCGCTGAAGTTCAGTGCTTTGTGCTGCGGGAGAGGCGAGGAAACTGGACACCGGCATCACATCTGACTGGCTTTCTCCACACTCTTGGCAGCGTCTTTGAGCTTTCCCACCAAATCCTGCAAACAAGCCATTGATCACTTTCAATAGGGATAAAAAATAAAAATAAAAAAAAAGTCCGGCAGAACTATGACCTCAAATATCAACTGAAGAAATAACATTCAGGCTATGGATTTTACTGTTTTAATTAAGAATGAAATTGAATTAGTACTTTAGACTGTATGTCCCAATATCATCTTATATACATCTATAATAATCATCTTATAAAGGCTTTATTGACGACACGTCCATATAATACTTTTTAAAATATTAGGTCAACTTAATACATCATCAACACAATCTATCCGCTTCTGTTTATTTTATATTTAAGGATTGGCTCAGCTGCAGCAATGGAAATCCATTTCATGTGCAGAAAGTAACTTCATTTATTATGTCGGATATAATGATACAATTTAACACGTGTATTTTTCTGCGGATGTTGCCCAGTTTGAAGAGGAAAGTAGGCTACCCTAAAGCAATGACACGACCTCTTTCATTGTCGATGAATGTGGTGATAATAGCTCGTTATGACGAAGGCTAACTGCAGGTGGTCTGTCTCTGGAATAAAAATGACGGATTGGGAGCAAATTGACGTCGATAAAAAGGCACCACAGCAACTCCTTCTACCTGTAGCTGCTCCATGGTGCAGGTGAAGTTGATATCTTCCGATGATCCTTCATTCTAACAAAAAGAAGGAACAAACATGAGCATTGTTTTACGCACGGAAAGGCGCCGCATCCAGGAAAATGCATGCAAGTAGTGACATCAAAACGTGTCCGAATCTTACCTCAGTGTTCAATGAAATGGAGTAGAAAGGCTCGTTGACCTTATCGACCTGTCCGTTCTGTTGGGGGGGGGGGGCACATTTTAGTTTGACGCAAGACACTGTGCAACACAAAGACAAAACTTCCACGTCTCATGTAGCCTACCTTCATGTGGTATTGCAGACGCCATGAAACGTCGTTAATCTGAGGCAGAGACTTTCCTATGCTAGAAGAGGATGGCAGAAAAGACATTGTGTATATATATATATATACACCAGCATTAATTTAACGGTCCTGTCGCTGTGGGCAATCAGGATCAAGTCAAGGAGAAAAAAAAGCAGAAATGTGTAGCTGTTCCTGTGATCATTTTTTACCAACTCTCTGAAGAATTCAATATTCAATAAATGCCACTTCGGGCTATTTACCCGCACATATCCCAAAGTTTTGTGTATCATACTTTCTTGTGTGTGTGGGATTAAAAGACTTTCCGTGTTTTATGAATTCATCATTTGTTTGCGACTGTTCTGAGTCAATCTGCAGACTATGTTTCTAATTCACAAAGATCGTTTGTTTATGGCGCGTCATAAAGCAGCATTTACATTGCAATTAATCACACTGCTTGACCTTTTAGTCCTGACACGCAAAAGACCTCAGAGGGCTGCAGCAACAACTTGCGTGCTCTTCCCTCGATTTGGGTAAAGCCAATCCGATACTTTAAGGCTGTATCAAAACTGTATTAACGTGGACACATCTGGTATCATTCTTGGTGATGTTGAGTCGATTTTATTTTTCAGTTTGTTCCCATGGATGAGCAAAGTCGATCAGATAATACAAACAAATAATTCTGCAGCTTGAAAAAAAAAAAATCTAATTTAAGTTCCAGTTTCATCTTGGGGACATGATCAGTCTGGTTGAACTTTTTCACTAGGAACATCCTCAAATTTCTTCCCCGCTGACAGCGCTCAGACTTACCTTGCTAACAAACGCTCCAGTTCTTTTTTATGTTTCTGTAAAGCAGAGCATGCATCGACGAGTTACAGGCAAGTCAGCCGCAGTTAGAAGGGAAAAAAAACATCAGATTTAATAAATGCAACAGTGTTTGAACTGGCACCTGATATGTGCTATAGAATATTTCTATTCTCTCTGCACTGAATGTGAGTTCGTCAAGGGAGGAGCTGTAAGAACAAAACAAACACTTTGATTAGCAGTGGATTTCACAAAACTGCGTTTACTTTACAGTCTTTTTAAAACTGTCAAGGTTTCATATTTTTGGACATGTTTACACGTGTTTGTAATCACATTTGTGATGCAGAATGTAGAGACATTTTTTAAAGGAGTAAAAGAAGCCTAAGGAATTACACTGGTGCTTGTTTGTTGGATGATCACACACATGCACACCTACAGTACTTGACTGTTGCTCTGTTATATCCTTAACACCCAACTCTGATAATGATAAGCCTATACCACATTCCCTTCTCTAATTATAAACACCAGACAATGACAAAAAAAGCAATGCAGACAGACAATTGTGACACTTAAACTGTATTTTAGATCCATTCAGATATTTCAAATGTAACCACAGTACAAATTACTTTAATTGATTTCCATCCAATTGCTGTTCCATAAAACCTGCAGGCACATTCATTTTAAAAGTTGATCATGTAAATTCTTTGTTTATCTGTTGCTGTTAGTTACATATCTGGGACACACGTTCAGAGCAAAACAAAAGCATGGCTAATTTACACATTTCAATAACAACCCTGCGAATCACATCTTAAACCCAGACTATGCTGTTTTATACCCATTTACTTGTAGTTTTACAGTAAATAATACAATATTTCCACATAGTTTATCTAGGCCTAATTCATTTAAATGATTGCTGTAATCTCTGACAGGTTCCTGGTCTCTATAGGGAGATGCAATCAGCTGGTCACATAGTGTTGCATGTTTATTACAGGTTAGAAGCGTGCAAAAAACATGCACTAGAGGAACATATTTCCTGTGCGATACGAGCACAATTTTCATAGCCATAAACAGACAACTATTTTTATAAATTCGCCTCGAGCGTGTGTAGCTGGAAGTAACGTGATGTTACAGGAAACCTTATGTCAGATGGCGCTTAGCCTACCTTATCGTCGACTTGTCGGCGTTTTGTTTGACCGCCTCCAGTATGAAGGTGGTCGCTGCAGTGTGACTTTGTTTGAGCAAGATCTGGTCGATCTGCTTCAGCTCGGGATGATCTGCAACCACAAAAAATAAAATAAAAATAAAAATAACACGGCATGAGGATGCCACTCTGCAGGTTGACCACGAATCCTTTATTCTCTATGGACGTAACAGGCGCGTTTGATTGCTTTAGATGATGTAGATTTCCGATCCATAGCCATACTCGTGCTCTCCAGATTGACGAGTAGAATGGGAATCAATGATGATTTGCATGCGAATGGGCCCCTCAGCTGCATCAGCCAGGGGTCTTTGTTTGTTTGCTTGGTGAACATTTCACTTTCTAAATAATTCTGCTATTAAAAACAGAGGCGGAATGCTGCACAGAGTTGGACAACACATGGATTGTGAAAACAAGCGAAGCAGTCGTGCAGGAGCTGTAGGCTACCTATTGCACGAGGTTGCTGCTGTCATTTCGCATCATTTAGGTATATTTAGCCTATCCAGAGCAAAATTAGCAATAGGCTACACAGAGGACTGCTGGTTTCAGATCTGCTGTGATCGATTAAAGCGAACAATCGGATGTGTATCCATGATTAGTTTTGACTAATGGTGATTAAAATAGCCTAACAGTCTTTCTAACATGCTGAATAGACTTGGTGGCAGTTTAAATGACAAAAGGCACCCCGAGTGGCCGTGTGATTGTGTGACTGCTGCTGAATGTAAAGCAGGCAGCAGAGAAGGCTAAGGTTGCTGTAGCCCAGCGCCACTGTCTGCTGATCAACCACTTCGCCTCATTAAAGATTGTAATATAAACACGGGGGAACCGGTTTAGAGCAACAGAGGCACGCAGCAGCGCCGTATTAAACTACAAACATCTAGGCAACTCCTCCACACATCCACACGGAGAGAAACCGGAAGCAGCGGCAGGAAGACAAAAGCGGCGGCGGAGGAGAGCAGCAGCGGCTCACCGAGGACTGCAGGGTCGGCGTGAGAGGAGAGCAGACTCCGGAAAGACACGTCCACCAGCACCGGGAAGCTGCTCTGGTCGAAGGCGGACGCGTCGGCGAGAGACTGTAGCCCTCTCTGCACAGACTCAGACAACTCCATTTTGCAAACCTTCACCCACGACGCCAGACCACGTGACGGATCAGCTGATGCGCTGAGTGCGGAGAAGCAGAGGGCTGAGCGATAATACCCGAAGCTGGAGCTGGCAAACGACGACAAATCACTGGGGGATCGTCAAGTAGCTAGAATGTTGGGGAGCTTCTCGCATGTAGCCTAGTGGTTTTCTTATTGCGATGTTTCCCTCGTCCTATAAGCGCACTGTGCGCCATAGAGGCTAAAGACGAACTTGTGCACTGGAGTTTGAAAAAGCAAACAAATAGCCTAAAACAGAAAGGGCATGTTCATGTTAAAAATTAGGATATTAGGAACATCCAGGTTCAAGTAAATGAGAGATATGCTACTTTTTTTTTATCTTATCTGTATATTTAAGTTAACTGGAACATACATATTCTTCACAGACTGACAGGTTTTACCCACACAAGTAGGCTATATTCACACAGGTAGCAGCCAGTTTTATCCTATAAAATAATATTTGGTTTATGGGCTGTTGAGCATTGTCATTACCGAGACACACTGAGGGTAAACCCAGGGACACTCTTTGCTTAAGCACACTGAGTAGCTAGAACCAGGCAATAGCCAACATCCCTCAATGGTTTCTTCTGTTAAAACACATCATATGAGATGAAGTGAAACTGATACAAGGTATTCATTTTGAACACCCACTGTACTGTACACTTTACAGTTTAATTTCAAAAGCATTGTCTATACAGTTTGAGTCAGTTTTGCGGTTATACAGCGGTGTGTCTACTGAAACCTCTTACAGGTGAACTCAGTCATCATGTTGATATTATTTCCTCTTTTCATTGAGTACCCTGAAGAAAACAAACTTAATGTGCCTTATTAGTTTTCCCTGGAGATAAGGGATTATAAAGACAGTTGATAAGATGCACAACTTGTAAATATAGCCTATATATATATTAATTATTTATTTTAACGATGTCTTGCCTTGTCTAAAGTGAAGTCAGCACAAGCCCTTTTAATCACCAAAGCATGGCCTTTGCAGTTTTGCTGCACTGATCATGTTTCCATGGCTGTTACAATTTAATTCAGTCGCCATGTTGATATGATTCTGTTTTATTCATCTGCATTTGTGGTTTTTCATGTGGGGAACTTCCTGAGGCAGTCATGAGGTGGAGTTTTAGTGAGCAGATTGGGTCATTTTTAAATTTCCATTATGTCAGCTAAAACATGTGTAATCAGTGTGCGATGCAGTCTAGACTCATGACAATTAACTCTGTAGAGAAAGGAAATTCACTTTTGCATAAAAAAGTGCATTATTAAAAGTAGGACTGCATGCTATAGCAGTGCAAAGTGCTCTTCACTGTGATGCAAAGCTTCCCCAAACTATCAGAACAAAAATCACAATAAACATTTAGGTCATCGTGGGGCGTACATGGGCACTATATTTCTCTTTAGAGAAATACCCAAAGAAGTGCATATTTCAGAGGAGCAGTGTCCAAAGAAATCTCCCCTTTGAGGCAAATGTTTCTGCAATATTTGCTTCTTTTATTTTTCATTTACACTTTCATGTTTACACTGTAACTCTTCAGCGTAGTTAAGATCCCCACGTGTCTATTAAATCTGGCATTATGAGCTTCTGCGCAGTTCTTGAACATTTTATTGCAGCAGTTATCGGGTTAAACTCGTGTGTTTGTGTGTGTGTGTGTGTGGGGGGGTATTTATTGTTTTCAAATGTTGCCTGTCGCTGCGGCATGCACTGCTTTTTATAAAGTGCAATACTAATTTTAGGCTGCATCATATCCTCTTACCGAGACCGTCGTCAGCCTGTCGTTCAGTAATGAGGAGGATTGCCGATGTGTGGCACGGCCACACACGCAGCAGCTATCGGAGTGACCTCTGACTTCGCGCTTTGTCCAAAGTCCATTTCGGCTCCATGTCGGGTTGTGAAATAGATTAGCCTTCACTCTCTCCCTGCTGTTTCGTTATGCCTCCAATGTAGCCTGTGTCTCTCATCGCGATGTGCATCCCGTCGTCACCAAGTCTCCCTCATGTTAGGCTACATCATTATTTTCCCCCTGCGTCATGAGCATGATGTCAAAATTGATTTGCATGTCTCCATTTCAAACATATTGTATATGGTCATATGCTGCAGTATCATATATTAATGAAATCTACCTATTAGTTTCTCAAAAGGTTTATCTAATTCCTTCAAAATAAAAGTGCTAAGAAATATAACTGATAACTGACTATGTGAATAAGGATGTATTAAAAGCAATACAACCACACAAATGAACACTTTCTAGGCTATATACAGTTACCCCAATATCTGTTTCTACAAGTTTAACTTATTTTTCAATATCACCCTCAGCTTAATCTGTTCAATTGATCACAGGTCAACGTTTCCTTTTCCTTATTGTGTTGCCTCTGTTCAACAACACATTCTTCCATTGTCAGAGGGGAAATCGGGCAGCTGATCCTGTATCATATTTGCCACCATTATGAAGACACTTCTTTTTACATCTTTATGTAGGCTATAGTATTTTGACAAAGGTGTACAAAGAGATCCTACAAAAATCTCTGAATTGTTGAGACATGCATGATCTGTCCAAATATTAGTGTTAATGTTAACCTTTGACCTCTTGCAGGCAATAGGAAACTTTGAAAACTATCAAAGGTGTTAAATAGAAGTTAAACATGCGCTGATGTCTCCATTTTGATGTGATAACTGGATAAGCTTCAGTTGTAAGACCTTTGCAAAACCCGGAAATGTTTGATAAAGTTTCATTCAGCTGAGCTGCACATCCTATAGCCTAATGATCTTCACAGGTCTAATGATATGAAAAATGATGGACAGCTTCTGCTGTAGGCTGACAGATGTTGTTTGAATAACGTTTTGTCCCCCCCCCCCCGCGAAAAAACTAAAAAGGCACGCTGATCTGCATACCTATTAAAAATCTATTCTGTTTTATTTTATTCAGCTTTTCTGCCTTGTTATTAATCCTTGGTTGACTGAAGGTGAAAACAATCGAACAATCACTTTGGTCTAAGCTATTATTTCCCTCCACTAAATGTCTTTATATACCAACAATGACAAAACTGGAAACATCCCCTTTAAGAGGACGCTGCGGTAATATGACCTTGGGAAATGTGTGCATTGACAACAACATGGGAACACTTTTTCAAAACCAGCTTGTAAGACGGAGATGTATTAACAGTGGAACACTTACTGGTTTGAACAGGCTGTTTTAATAGGACTGGTTGTGTATGCATGTTCAGTTTATTGCAACGACGGTCATTGACAGATTGTTACATTTTTATCTTTTATTTTGTGCTTTCCAGGTTTTTTTTATTTCCAAAAGAAAAAACATCAGGGCAACATATCAATAGAATAAATGCCATATCTCTGGATTGAGTGAGGATTTGTAAAATAAATTGATGAGTCGAGGCCTGTTTCTGCGGACTGTGGCTTGTTTTCCTCTTTTTAAGCTTTAGCCTATATGATAACAGTAAAACCAACGGAATTTTACCAAAGAATCAGTCATTTCAGAGCGTGAATGGATTCATATGTAACATGAAGGGTCCAAAAGATTCACGACCTGCAGAGCACGTGTATACACCACTATTTAAAAGGCTGTAATTGACCACTATTGTGTGTCTGGCTACTGCAATATCCACCCTGTAACATTTCTCCTTCTATGAGAAGAAGTTAGGCCTACATGTAGATTAATTGCCTTTTCCCGGCGATCCCAGAGGTGACCCACCTTAACCTTTATTATATTCTTGTGCCATGAACGCTGCAGCCGCATCTACAGTTTACAGTTTGTTATAAGCTAAGTTCTTGGTTCAGGTTTCTATGAGTCCCGAAGATGCCTGAGCTGTGCTCATTTTACACTGACAAGACAGCTACAGTAAAACTGCTAAATGCCTTTAACGATCCCCCAAATCACGTTTAGGATTGGTGATACATGGCTGAGATATAGTCTACGTTGTACATTGCAGTAACTTTCAGCACGTTCAAGTAAATAAGACAATGGTGATATTTAATTGTTCTCTTGTTACATTTTTTTAGCAAGTGGCTGCTGTTGCCTACAATATGCAAATAATCATGGTGCTAGTAGATTCACATGTCATAGTTTTGTGATGTGGAAATGATGACTTTCTCAGTTTGTCTGTCTGAAGGAAGAACCTGACTTCCAGAGAAAAAAAGTTATTTTCCTTAGAAGAAGAGTGCACACGGACTGTAAAGGGTTTGCTAAAAGAACGTTCTCCTACAAATTATGGCCATTTGCAAATAAAGAGATTAATAAAAATGTGTTTTAATTGTTGCCTAATCATAACCTACAATGATCTATTTTACCTGATATGGATGGATGTTGTACATACAAATAAATTTCTAAAAAATGTATAAAAACAGCTACCCCCAAAATCGTTTGAATCAAAACTATTCATTATTTTTTATAGTCTACATGTAGGCTAGTTTTTAGATCTTTTTAACAGCTCTACGGTAAATGTACTGCATGCGCATGTTACATACAATAACTTGAGCTAATAAGTAGCCTAATCAACACAAATATCAGATGTCTTTTTTTTTCCATGTCAAAATTAAAAACAAAAATCAATTTTGGCGCCCCCCACTGGGTGGCGTCGCCAATAGGAAGCCCCCCGCAGATTACTTACAGATAGCCTATCACATATGTTCAGCAAGAACGTAGCCTATTGTTGAATATATAAAAGAAGAACTATGGCAGATAGTGACTCTAATCATCATGCTGTCCATATCGCCATCTCTGAGAGACACAAAAGGACAAAATGGTCCAAAAACCTCGGTCCAGCTTGTGACTGCAAAGCCTGAAAATTCAACAAATATACCTTTTATCTTCGAGCAGCGGCTGCTCCATTTTAAATAAACAGGAAGCTGATTGACTTTGTTTGTCTGAGCGTCGAAATGTCTGTTAAACTAAAGGGTTTAACCTAGAAAATGTTTTCCTTCTGGTTGCACCCAAAGGTGGCTGTTAGTGAAGCAAAAGAGATTTTCAGAGGCATGTTTTGGTCTTTTTATAATCTA